ATTCACAATAACACGTTTGATATCTGGCAACTCAGAATAATGCTGCACAGTGAATTAAGATTTATGTCAATAATTTACCACTACCAAATGTAAAAACAAAAGAATCATGGACATTATATCTCACTTGCAAAGCTCGAATGTAAAGCCCAGCTTTTTCACAAAGTTGTGCGATGCGAGGGCGATCATAGTGGCTGAACATTCCATTTGCCAATATAGCATCAGCAACATTAGGAAATGTTACCAAATTAATTTCCAGGACCTACAAACACATAAATAAATAAAAAAAAGCACAAACACTGCATAAGAGATGGGACATCTACTCTGAACATCTTCAACTAGAAATAATAAATCAGACTGTAACCTTTGTTTGCAAGAAAGCATGTTCAGGCAAGTTTGGCTTCAGAACATCCAACAGGAAGGCTGTAGCCTCACGAATCAGGTTCCTCTATACAAGATAATAAACCAAGCTCACAGGTATCAGCACAGCAATAAATCCAATCCGGGAACCCCATGTAACCGAAAAGGGTTCCCCAAATTACACTTTTATCAACTGTTAAAAGTATTTACTATCAAGAATAAAGCCGGAAACTGTACAGAATGGAAGATGAATGTTTGAGTAATAATAAACTAAACCTGCAAGAAGAGATCAGTGATAGTGTTGTAGTCGACTGGACAACCACCCTCCATTTGAGACATCATCAAAGCGAAGTTAACAGCTCCCTGCAGATTGAAACAAAATAGAACCTCTGTTAAGATACAAAGAACTAGGAAAATCCGCACTGTCATTCTATCAGCAACAAGAACTTTCACCATACTAACTGATTAAGCTCCAAATTCTATAGGTATATTGATTTAACCATCCAGTTTGCGGGTGGTACCTGAGGATCAGTGCGGAGAATTGTTTGCAGAAGGAACAAATAGTCTGGAGTGTACCCAACCTGTAATAAATAAATAAATAAATTGTCAGGCACACGATCCTGTATATTATATATATATATATATAAAGCTTCCACAATTATGAACTCCGCCAAACTGGAGAATATGAGGATACCTGTTTTGAGTAAATCAAGATTTTATCGAACTCCCTCCTCTCAGCAAATGCAGCGACAACTTTTGGGGTTGCTCTGGCTTTAATGTATATCTTCAGTGCAAGATCATTATCCACAGTCTATTGGCAGCAAAGCAAACTATCAGTCATTACACAAAATACAGTAGAAGTATGGAAAATATAAATGATCGTCCAGAAATTGACATACCTTAACAAGGTCTCCAAGCTCCTCACTGCATTCCAACTTATCCTCCGCCAACCAATTCTCCAAAAGGTTCTTTTTGTTCTGATTTACGACAAGGCGTGACAATTCCAAGGATTCAAATGCATTTAGCTTTCCTCTTGTCAGAAGAGTGCCAAAATACTGTAAAAGTGGGGGCGTCTGACCAGCTTGAACAGGAACACTCTGAAACCAGATAAATAACAATAAACAAAAATACTCAGTCTCTGATCATGAAACAAAAATATGTAATAGAACCAGCAAGTAAAATCATAACATAGACCTGAAACTTTGCAACTGTATCCGGTGTTCGAAGAATTCCCTGTGGGGACTCCGCAGCAAGCTCTGCAGCTTCCTTATATTTTGTTTGAGCAAAGAGTTCTTGGAAACGCTGCACAACCTGGAATTCCAGACATTGAAAGTAGTAAGCTTTGGGGAAAATGGAAGGACAACGTCAATACCAAAAGAGAAAATACAGAACATTACTACTTACCAGGTTCTCTGCACCAGGAAGGTTTCCTCTTTTGGCAAGGTTAACAGCAAGCTCTAAATTATTCAACTGCAACAGCGTTCAGAACGAAATTTTAAACAAACAGCTCAATTCACTTTCAGAGCTAACACAAAGAACTGGAATTTAGACTTACTTGTCCACTGACAAATGGTACAATTGTTGCTTCATTTACAGTAGCAAGCAACACTTGACCTCGTCTATTGATGGCATAAAAGCCACCCACAGTAGACGCCTCAGATGTCAAAAAAATTGGATCTGGGCTGATCCGATTTCGGTATACAGCAGCAGCTGTTTCCAGGTCATAAACAAACAGCAAACCCAGCTTGGTGATGACATAGATCAAGTTGTACTTGTGGGATATCTGTAAATCGCAAATTCAGAACTCCATCACCAGAAGTTACATGGATAACAAGTCAAATTAGGTTTTGGGGAGAGAGGCATTCCTACCTGCATCGCCACAGGAAAGTCATCAGCAAAATCTGGAGGAAAGAAAAGATCTGCCTGCTTCTTGGAAAATGATGGTTTCCCTGCACACCGAAAGTTAATAAGAACAGTGAGTGGTAGCTTAATCCATGAAGTTCAATGACCAATGTCCCGGGGATTAAGTTGAGAGAAATTGCGAAAGTCAAGAAAACTGGTGAAATAGACTAAAGCAATAACCTGGTTGAGCACCAAGTTCAATGACATGCAACTTTGAGGTAATCTGCCCAGCATTGAAGGTTTTTGTGGCAAAAGAAATGAGGGTAGAAGGATTCTCATTTCCAGGTACCTGTAAAACAATAGAAGAAATGAGCAGGCAACCAGTAGGATGACGGATTAGCCTTTGGAATAACACAAAGAACGATGAACTATCTTTCAATCAGGAGAAATTTTCACCTTGAATTGAGCAAATGCAGCTGCATGTGCTTCAAGAGCTTGGCTACGCTGTTGCTCAACAGAGAAAAGCTGCATATTCCCTTTCACTAGTTGTTGCCTCTGTAAGAAAATGCCAACAGTATCAGAAATGCAGTTCAGCAGTAACAAAAACTTCAGATGTACAGAAGTGGACAAATCAAAACACAAGGCATGTCTCTTCTTCACAAGCATGCAGATTTCAAGAGATGTTGGTTGAACAAGTCATGAAGGATAGCTTTAGTACAGATAGTACAAAATAAAAATCAGATACCTCAGGTGACCCTGGAGCAATTCCTATCAAAACCAACCACTTCTCGGAAGGGTCACATCGATAGTTAATTATCTGATTGCTAGCCAAATTAGCGGTCCTCTCAAACATCTTAACAGGTTCCGAATCACCTGATGTTGAAAGAAGTTGGATATACATCAGCAATCTCTAATTAACTACAATTAGATGGATGTTGAACACAACAATTAAGTTCCAGAAAACAATAAGGGAATAAAATGAGAATCATACCTTCAATAGACCAATGATAGCAGGCTGACTGTGTCACAAGCCCCAACATTTTCGGTGTTATCCACTTCCAGAACACAATCTACACATAAAACAAGCCGGACATCATATGAACTAAATCCTGGTGGAAAGAAAAATGTGAGGACAATAACTAACAGTATAAACAATCCAAGAAGGTCATTTACCTGCTCAGGCATCTGGTATGATTTCATTTTTGTCTTCATCTCAATGTTAAATATCTGCAAGTGATCCTGAGTGGTGCCGGGAAGTTGGGCTTCAAAGGAACATAATATTGTCACAAGCAGCTCATATACACCGATCAAACATATAATATACGAAAACTATAACAGATTCCTCATTCTACTAAAATGAAAACTATAGCAGATTCTCCACTCTACTCAATCCTCATCCTACTTATGGAACCCAAGAGCATGATACACTCACTTGCAACAACTACTAGGTCAGGATTCAGGTTGCTATTTAAAGAGCCGTTTTCACTCTGAAATTTCTAATTCATCTGAGAGACAAAGGTCAAGTCTCTACCATGTAATCTTAATTTGTTCAGTGGAGTAACACTAGCACTTTATGATCAAGCAACAACATAAGAAATGAAATACAGCCCCCGGATCCCCACCTTTAAGAGCGAGAATCCTAGAGTTAGGATTCATAAGGGCAGAGTCTGCTGTGATTGGCCGCCTCAATGGCTGATTTGGCATATTCATATCGACAATAACAACACTATTCTGTGGGGCAGTTTCTCGCACGCATATATACTTGTCGGACTCCATGGTCACGTTCGTAAAGGTGATGAACTGCGGACTAATCCCAATGCTTGGAAGCTGCAAAAGAAACACCAGATCACGACTCAATCTCATTTCCGAGCAACCTCAGAGCTCCCAAAATCAGCAATACTGTGCATATATTATAGAGTCAGGAAAACAAATCAGCAGATCTAAACAGGTTAAGACACGCATCCGATCTGCATCGCCTACGAGGATCACTAATCGCTGTGATGAGATACACATCGTAAGCAATCACGCGCAATTCAGGTTCGCTATCGTCTAAGATAGGAAATTCAGCTACAAATTGGAGTTTTGGAAGCTTCGAATCGAGGGAGCCAGTGAAGGAAAAGTTGGCTAAGGCAGGCTACTTACAGTCAGCACTTCCTTCATGGTAATCGGCGCGTTAGCGGCCGCCATGGTGCCGGATTGGATCGACTGCTCCGAAGCGGCGGGCAACCAGATCTACGAATGCCGTCAAACCGTCCGTCGACGGGGAAGAGTCAACAGAGAACGAAACGAGGGATTCGAATCGCTGCGAGATCTAGGGCAGCGACAGACCCCACTGGTCTTGAATCAATCAGAAGGAGAGCGGAAAAATAAGGGAAAGAAGATCTACAGAGCAAGAACGGGAAGAGAAAGGGAGAGTGAGAAGAAGGGTCTCAAACGCAAACCCAACGAAGAAATACCACCGAGAGGAGGAAGCAGAGATCTCATCTTAACTGTTAAGAAAAAAGAAAATGTAAATATTTTTTAATTATATATATATAATAAATCTATTTTCAATTAATTTAGAATCTCACGAACAACTGAAGAGTGAAGAGGGACGTGTAAAAATGTGCCTCTGCGAATTTTATTTTTATGAGTGGGAGCCTGGGAGGAGTGGAGATTGGACTGACTTCCCATATTTCTCACCGGACGCGTAACGGGATTTTATTTTATTTTTTCTTGTACAGTAATTGAGCAAGTATAAATCGATTTAGCCAGATGTATATTTGTGCATCTCGGCACCTATATTCATATTTTACCGTATTTTTAATCATTTATCATTATTCAAATCTTAAGAATTAAGAAACTAATTCCAAGTTAAAAAAGAAACCGTGAACTAAAAAAAACCAGAAATCAAGGTTGTCAACCTGCGGGCTGACCCGGACTCGATCGAGCTAATGGGTCAAAAGTTAATGGGTCACCAGTTTTAGCCAGAAAATATGAAAAGAGTTATTATATACTTATCCTGATAAATTATATCAAATCTCATCTAACATATGAGTTATAACATATAATATTTACACCAAAGTAACATGTCGTAATTAGATCCAACATATAGTGAAAATTCACACACACTTATATAACATCAATATTCAAATGTTCAACTTAGGATTCCAGAGATTGAGGTAGACAAAAAGAAAAATCGAATAATAGGTGCATTTCGCAACAAAAAAAATTGATACAAAAGAAAGCAATTCTAAACTACTACAACCCCAATGTCCACTATGGCGCAACTCAAATAACTGGGCCGAAGATAACCAAATGCAGCAGCAGACTAGAACACAGGCCCAACTTTACTTGTCGGCCACATGACCTTCAACAATTCAGCCCATAGCGGAAATATGTGTTAGTAGTGGAGGGTGCATAGGCTGTAGGTCCAATCAAACAATGGGATCAAACAGTTTTTTTTTTTTTTTTATGGACAAGTTCAAGCAGTTGCAATTGCTCGTCTCGCTTGTAAACCCACTATTTATTTGAGTCTTTATTAATTGTACATTATTCGGGAGTTGACTTCGCTTTAAAAGAATGGAATTTATGCAACTTATAATTGGTCTCCATATCGCGTCCCCACTTTATGACCCCAATTATAAACCAACCATTCATCCAGTGGAAAGCAAAACGATAACAATCAGGGAAAAAGAAAAAGAAAGAAAAAAAAAAAGAGTGCAGACAACATTACAAGTTACAACAACCAACTAGTCGGCCGGCCGCTAAATACGACTGGCCAACTTCTTGTGCTGGACCCAACCCACCAAAGACCCAAATCGAAAATGTTAGTTTGTTACCGTTTTTTTGACTCCTAGCCAAGTAGCCAACCATTATAATCTCGATCACTCGATGGATTAGTGTTCACTAACCATGCATATTTACAATGGCTGGATAGAATAAGATAGTGTAATTAACTAATCATTACGGGAAATTCTGGTGTTGGTCCCAAAATTAAAAGAGTGAGTGGAATTTAAGTAAATTTAGTGAAATTATATCACTGACGATTTTCATTCTTTGTGAAATCTATAAACAAGTTGGAAGTATGAAATTTAGATGATTAGTACTGTCGAACATTTTCTGAACCAAGCAACTATAAGTATGCGAGTCGTGGCTACGTATTTATCTACATACGATTTAATCAGCTCCTGCGGCTGGCCTTCTTTCTACCGCTACCTAATTGCTCAAAACGTAAATGTTCTTACATATCATTGTCATCATCTATTTATCAAATCACACATCGCCACGCTTGTGCTCCAAATTTTTTCCTCCGATCGTGGTTTTATGTTGATGCAGTGCTCGATTAGCTCCGCGTCAGCATAATTTTCAGTCGGGGCAAGATTTGGAGCTTCTTCTCTTGTGTGGAATCAATGGAGGAAACGAGCCAATTGGACGATCATGACGCTGATGTCATCCATGGAGCCCCTCCTCACAGCCAACTCTGCGAGTTGATTGCAGGCTAAGGCTGGCTTTGGTTTCTCGGCATCAGTGCACAGATGGCGGATCAGATCAAGTGCTTCTTGATTGGAAACCTGCAAATTGAAATGGAACGAATTCGAATTGAGTTTCCCTCCCCAATCAACACAAAAGCTTAACACGAACTGCGAACAAAATTAAATCAATCGTCTCTTACCTTATCCCACAGCCCATCGGAGGCCAAGATCAGGAACTCGCAATCAGGCTCGATTCTCACGACTTTGGTCTCCGGCTCGGCGATCACGAACTCCTTGAGATGCCCGTCTCCGATCCCTCTCGTCACGGCGAGAGATCCCTGAATCCTCCATACGCCTCTGCAGCAATCCACATAACCGCCGAGGGCCTCGATTCGCTCCTTCTCGTCGGGACGAGAAGCTTGATGATCGGACGTGAGCGCCTCCGCGACTCCTCCTCTGCTCATCACGGCGCGGCAGTCGCCGGCGTTTGACACCACGAGGTTTCCGTCTTGTATCAACGCCGTGACACAGCATGCTCCGCCGTGAGCGTTTTCGTTGAGGAAATCTGCATCGGTTTTCAAATAGGCCTTTCTAATCGCCTCTTGGAATCCGTTATCGTCAGATCTAGAAGACGATGATAGTTCGGCGGAGATGTTTTCCCCCAAATTCTTGGAGGCGAATTCGGCGGCTCTCGCGCCACCGTGTCCGTCGAAGATCCCGAACATAGCCTGCCGGCAATCGAGAAGCGGAATTGAGTTTTTGACCTAATTTTCATTTATTTTACCCACACGAAAGATTGAATCGAAGAGATGACCGGAGAATCGAATTTCTCACCTGCTTAGAATCGGAAGCGTTGACGGAAGCTGCGTACCGATCCTCCATGGATCCTCTCCTCCCTCTCTTGCAATAAACGGAATATCCATCTCCTTCCACCTCCACCACATCTGATCTCTCTTCCTCTGCCAATCTCGGCGTCTCCAAACACAACCCCAAGCTTCTCGTCGCCACCGGGATATCTATCCTCGCCGGCCTCTTCCTCTTGAGCACCGCGCCGGGATTCCCGGCCGCTTCGTTCACTCTCAGCGATAACATCGACGTCGGCGGCGAAGAACTAGAAGACAGGGACAGCCGCGGCGACGACGACACGACGGCTGTTGATCGGGGGCTGTGGATGCTGCTCGGAGAGGGGCATGGCTTGCAGAAGATCGATTGCATCCTCGGCGATGCGAAAATCGGCGATTTCGGAACCGGTACTGCCACTGAGCACATATTACCGGCCGGCGTCGATTGAGATTAATTTTTTTCGTCTCTTTCTGCTCGTTCCTTTTTCTTTCTTCTTCTTTTTTGAGTTTTCCCCTCTCTTTCTTTGTTGCTCTGCTCTGTGTCCCTCTTTTTTCTCTTCTTCCGCCGATTTGGTTCAGGGTTTATATAGTAGGGAGGGAGAGATGGCAGCCAGCCGGCAACGTGTTTGTGAAATTGACTTGCGATTGACTCGGCTTGAACGTTGGATGGAATTTTCCTTTTGGTTTAAAGCGGATGGATACGTCCCACGCGCCTAACTACTGAGTTCCACGTTTGATCATAAAAAAATTAGGTTTACCTTTAAAAAGAACAATTAGGTTCTGGTTCTTTGAGCTGATTTCTGGATAAAAGAAAAATTAGGTTAAGTACAGGGTAATGGATCTATTCCTTTTCTCTTTTTTTTTAGTCATATTAATCATTTACTTCCTTGGTTTCTTTTATTACATCTAGGGCGGCAAATGAGCCAAGCCGCTCGCGAGCAACTCGGCGTTCGAATCGAAAAAAACTCGTTTGACACTCGACTCGTTATTTAACAAGCCGGCTCGCGAGCCGACTCGTTAGTAAACGAGCCAAGTTTGAGCTAGACCATGCTCAGCTTGATAAGGTCGTGAGCTAGCTTGACTCGGTGGCTTGTTGAGCTAAGCTCGCGAGCTGGCTTGTTTAGAGCTTGTGGAAGGATTAATTACTCTTTTGAACATGAAAATTATCATGTTAAGAAAGATGTGTATGGAAGTTAGATGTTATTTTTAGTTTCTAGTGTTCTTTTTATCATTTTTAGTTTATAATATTCTTATTTGTACACATTTTCCAGCAAAGAATGGTTTCAAATCGAGCTCATCTTGAGCCGAGCTTGTACTCAACTTGACAAGCTGTGTTAATGAGCATTTATCGAGCTCTATCGAGCCGAGCTCGAGCTGGATTATTTTTAATCGAGTCGAGCTCGAGCTCGAGCTGGATGATCAAAATTCGAGTTCGAGCCGAAAATTTTTGAAACGAGCCGAGTACAAGCTGAGCAAAAGCTCGACTCGACTCAGCTCGTTTGCAGCCCTATTTACATCAAACATCATAACATAATTACGTTTCTCCCATATTTTAATTTTACATAAGGAAAATTTCAGTTTGATAACAAAATTACAATTAGACCATTTTGATTTTGTAATGTCTCAACAACTTCATAAGAAAATAAAAACAGCACGAAATGGTAAAACTGAATTAGTCAGATCGATTTAGACGAATAACCGTTTCAGCTACCATATATTTCTGGATTTTGTTCAGTTTAAACTTCTTAATGGATTTTATCCTGATTTAAACAAAGCATTTATATACCTTTTTTTAATATAGTATTTTACTAATTAGATAAACTCATATCCTCACGCGCGAGGCTGAGAGTGAAATAGCTCCCATGGTCAAAATTCTGGCGGTTAGTTAACGACCAAGTCACTCTTTCTCTCTCTCCCCCCGTTTTATTTTTATTATTTAATGTGCAAATCGTGGCCGGTTACCATTGGGGCACGTCAATGGTCAAAAGCGGAGAAATCTGTAACGTTGAGTTGGGAATGCGCTGGAGTCGGTGCGACATGTTATGGGCATGGCCATTTTCCAGCTCGAGGCACGAAAATGAAAAAAAAAAATTGGTTTCGACCAAAAAAATTATAAAGAAAAAAATAAAACAACTGGGTCCAAGCTGATTCTTCTTGATTAAGAATTCTAAGAAGAACAGCCGCATATAGTTTTCCCACGGTCTTCGTTCCAAAAAGAAACCTTCACAGAGAACGGGTTTTTCTCTTAATGGGTAGTCGAAAAGTTGCATTTAACTGAGACTGATTCCACCTTCCACCAATGAACTTTACGTTTAACCAAAGAAAATGACCCACCTGGTCAAATTAAAACATACCCATGCACTTCTGTTAACATCTCTAACAACTAATTAGGACCGATTCACTTAATTGTATAAAATGTATAGGAGTGTTTTACTTTGTCACTAAATTAATGGTGCATTTCATTTAGTATTTAATATATGGTGATTAAATGTGTTATACGAATTTTATAAACCGAAATAGTTTGGACATAGGAACATACGATGTCACACGAAAGTAATTAATGTCTTGAACCTTGACTCTCTCACGTCAAATAGATATGTGCCAAAATCCAATCAAAACTCAAACGGCTAACAATTTGTTGAGTAACGAGGTCATGTCGATTGAACATCGTACTTTCTATTTTATGATAATGTCAATTGCGATTGTGGAGTCAAGTTCGACTATACATTTTTATATATAACCTCTCTACCATACAAATTCAAGGTCCTCTTTAGCTCCTTTAAGATTCATTCTAGTTATCGTGCAACTTCCCATATGAGAAATAATGACACCGTTGCATCTTCCCACATGACAAAATCACAAAATCATCAGTCGCATTTGTATTCATCCTACATTTGGAGGGAGGAAGAGAGGCAACCTCCTGGTTCGCTCTTCCTTTTGCCGAATGATATGCTTTTCTTTGCATCCTGTGTTTGCTAGGTTATTTATTCCGATTCATGGCAGAATCCCCTAAACTTCCCCATCCATAATTTCTTCTTTTTGCTCATTTCCAATCGCATGTACCTTGTTGCTATTTGCTAAATGCTTAATTTTGACGGGAATATTTGTTTTGCACACTAGTTCGAGGAGCCCTAGTTTTGGACAGATAATTTATAATCCATATCGCCAGTTAATCAGCCGCACCAATGTTAATGACTCACACAGATTAGCATTGAATTTATTCTTGTTTGTTCTTTTCTTTAATTTGTCGGGTTTGGTCATGACAAGGCGAAGAGCTGGGTCAAATTAATGATGTAACGACAAAGCTGAACTTATCATTAGCATAGCGCCCAAGGTTGTTAAACCGCGAATTGACCCGGATCCGGTTGAGATAGTGGGTTAAGTGGTTAACGGGTCACCCGTTTTAGCTTGTTATAGTCTGGAAATATGAAAAGAGTGATTATATTGTACTTATCATGATAAATTATATCAAATCTCATCTAACATATGAGTAATAACATATAACATTACACTAAAGCAGCATGTCGTATTTAGATCCAACATATAGTGAAAATTCACACACACTTATATAACATAAACATTCAAATGTTCAACTCGTTTGGAAGTTGCGATTGTTAAATAGATGTATTGTTGAGAATGCATGTATAATATTATACATGTATTGTCGAATTTGATGCATTGTAGAATACAACGTTTGGTATGTGTGATTGTGTTTGTCGCATCAGCTAAAAGCTGAGACAAAACAATCTCAACTCAACTATCTCAACAATCACAACTAAAATTTGAGATATAACAATCACTCAAAATGAGTGATAGTTTCTGTCACATCACAGAAACAATCCATGTATTGTTTCTGATAAAAAAACAAAAAAATGATGCATTGTAAACAATACATGCATAATGACAATCTCAACAAAACAATCGCAACTTCCCAAACGACCCCTAAGAATTCCAAAGATTGAGGTAGGCGAAAATAAAAATCGAAAATAGGCGTATTTCGCAAACCGAAGAAAAAATGACACAATTTGACCTCCAACCAGATACCTTGTAGCGGTCGACACGGCGGATACGTGCGGCCCGTTTTTCTCAGCGAATTAGGGTCAAAGTGGGTCGACTCGCGGGTTGACAACCTTGATAGCGCGTCTAACTTATGCATCTTGAAAAATGGCTTGGTAGCTGGTACAAGTACACAACAAACATTTTTCTCAACATCTGGGGATGTAATTTATTTCTTACTAATAGAATTCAAAAGGGTAAAATTTTGATTTTGTACAAAAATTTAGACAAATCTATTGAAAGCCAGTTTAACATCTAAACTTTTGTTAGTCGGTGCCGAGGTAGTTTGGTCTCCATTGTGTGGAGAATTGCTTCCCCTCCTTTTCAACGCGCGGGCACTGTTGGGCTCTCTCTCTATCACCGTCGTCTTTGCGTAAAGATAAAAAATATAGCTATTGAATTCTGTTAAAAAAAGAATTAATCGACCTTTTACAAATTGGATGCTGATGTGCAGGTTCAATAACGATATCGTTTATTATGATGGATGAGGCCATTTTGTAATATTATACAAGATTTGGCTATTAAATTATTAAGATCCAGTCATTCTTATGAAAACATGAAAAGTTTTATGTATTAATAAACATCTCGATGGGTGGATTGGATTGACAATTAAGAAACGAGATAATCTGACTAGTTGTATCGTTTTATAAAATGAGTAATTTTATAAGGAGCAAGTTCGAATACCCTGTTCCATCCCCCAAATAATTGGATTTGCCTCAAATCGGATCAATTCAAAGTTTGCCTGGCCAAGTTGAGTCATCCAAATTTCTTACGGACAAACGAGTTAATTTGCACAATTATCTCAAAGCGAGACAATTATATAAAATTGCTCCGTTATAATTTTTCATCTAAATGGACCCATCAGTATTAATTTACAATTAGTTGCATTATATAGTGAGGCAACCGAGCAGGGCAATCACACCCATAAATATAATATATGCAGGTTGACCGCCTACTTTGTTAGGTTCCAATGATACAGGACAGTCCGGCAATAGGAATTGCTTAAGTTTTACTCGATAGAGGGCAAGATTTGACCGAGTTTATTCCGTCGACCAATTTAAGACCGGCCGCCGGCCGTTATTACTTCTTCTTATGTGCACACAATCGCAATCGCTGAATGGTGTTTGTCACCCCGGGGGTTGGAAATTAAGGCTATATTAATATATCCCACAGTACTGGTTCTTAGTAACACCCAGTCAAAATAACGGGGAAACAAAACTCAGCCTGCTGACGTTAATTACCAAGTCATAAATAAATAATAATGAACACACTTGGCTTGACTACTAATGATTGATGAATCCATCAAGTTTTGCAGGCTAAGCCCCTTTTCTTTGGACAAAATAGAGATCAGACTGGTTCAGCTGTACGTATGCATAGGCCGGCCGTTTGTCAACTCATTAATTAATTAATTAAGCGCTTTTATTAAGTCAATATATTAACCTGGCAAAGTCAAGGACTTAAGCATAATAAGGTGTCAATCGGACGGGTTCGGGCTGGGTTAATTCGGGTTGCGGGTTGGTCGGGTTGCGGGTCACTCGGGTTGCGGGTCAATCGGGTTACGGGTTAATCGGGTGCGGGTCAATCGGGTTGCGGGACGGGCGAGATCGAGTTGCGGGTTTTGCGAACGAGCACATTGCGTTACTTTTTGCAGGCCAATCGGGTTACGGGTCAATCGGGTGATAACTCTCATTATTCTATAAAATAAAATTTATACTCAAAATCTTCTCCCTCATCTTTTGGACCACACGACTTCAAAGTTGGGACTCCAAAAAAACACAACTCATAATTTGAACTCTATAAGAATTGAGACACTTTAATTTTCCTCACCAAAATTTTGCTCCATTTTTGCCGGCCACAATTTTTCCCGCCTGCTATTTTAGTTGCCGAATATTTGGCTCCAGAATCAAAATTTTGCTTATAATTTTGGAGCACTACGAGAAAATGTAAAGAATGGAAAATGTTAAAAAGCGGGCTTTTTTGGTTCCGGTGGGAGGGAAGATGAAAAATGAAGCGGGATTAATTTTGGTAGCTCAAAAACTTCCAATTTTTTCGTAGTAAGGCTGCGCTCTATGTGGTGTGATTTGGAGTTGCTTATGATCAGACTTTTGTGAACTATTATTAGTCTTTTTTATAATAGGACCATGATATTTGGATTTTAAATTTTATAATTATCTTATTATGCTAAAATTAATATTTTATAATGTTATGTGCACTATTAGGTTGATGATGTATCTAAATCAACATTTGATGATGTTATATGCGTTAATAGGTTGATGATGTATATTATTAATTTATTATACTAAATTAATAATTGATTATGTAATGATCAGACTTTAGTGAACTAGGATTTCAAATGTCAACTTATAGTTTATCTTCATCGAATTCCTTCTATTATAGCGGGCTGCGGGTTGGTTGGATTACGAATTTGGGTTGGTTGGGTTGCGGGTTAATAGGGTTGCAGGTCGATCGGATTGCGAGTTGGCCGGGTTGCGGGTCGGACAAGTTACGGGTCATTGACTTTTAGTCAAATCAGATTACAGGTCGGGTTAATTGGGCGGGTTACTCGGGTCGGTTACATTTTGACAGCTCTAAGCATAAACCCGTCGAGTGTTGACTAGCCAGCCAGCCAGCCAGCCAGCAGGACCATTTGTAAGGATTACGAAGATTCAGATCTTTCCGTAGTTTGTTTCTCTTCATGGACACGAGAAGGTAATTAGTGGACCCATTTGTAAGGATTACAAGAAATTGCTCCGTGGTTTTACCTTTCTCTCGTTTATGAACAAAACTTGGGATATCAGTAGGCCAAGATCCGATTGTACAGCAATTCGTTCCACGTGTCGGGCACTCCAGGGAGACACCAATGCAGGCAATCTGCATAAGCCGCCGGATTAGATTTCTGCTCCGGCGTCAGCACTTGACCACCATACGTCCCGTAAACGGAAGGATGGCCGTCTTTCCGTCGCTCCGAGAGAGCTGTTATGTTGAGCAAGTTCACCGGAGTTCTCATCGACGCCAGCACTCTGCTTGTCACCCCATAAAATCTCACATCCGTCTGCACATTCAGTGGTACGGATACGTTCTGAAAAGGCATCGTCTCCTTCTCGCATCGTACGCCGTCTGTGTTATTCCAATCTAGACTCCTGTTAACATTAAAATGTGGTTCCACTCCCAAGAGATTAGTACAAATTCCCGACATGATGAAGCTCGTTGTTTTTTTTGTTTTGCGTTCCGTTCTGTAATAACTCACCATTGATGTTGAGGGAACATGGAGGTGAAGAAGACAGAGGTGCGGTTGGGATCGACATTTTCATCCACCCACTCGCCCCACCTCCGCAGCGCTCTCTCGTACCCTAGATGCCGTTCGATCTCGTCGTATTCCGGTGCCACGTCAGCAAACGACGACGACGACGGCCCACGTCTGTTTTAATATGGATTTTATCAATTGGACTGATTCGAATGTACTTGGTGGTGGTGAATAGTGATTTATGAGATGGAGCTTACAGTAGTAGTTTGATGGTTGGATATCTGAGCCACCAGGCGTAGGTGTTGAAGATGAGGTAGTCGGCTTGTTTCCAGGCCTCGCCGCGCTTGGAGAAGATGGAATCCGGGTTGACTATGGACTCTGTTCTGCCGTCTCTCATTGTTGGAGGGTCCGAGTTCGAGTCAACCAGGAATGGCGCCCAGTAATACTCGATGCTTGCATTGTACATCTGTGAAAATGTATTTTTTTTTGTATATAAAGCACAAATCTATTTCTATAGTGTTTTAACATATAACAAGAAATCTGACACCACAAGAAAATAAAGAGTACACAGATTTAGGTCATTAATTAGCTCATTTACAGACAAATGAGATATAGAATACAGAAATTGGAGGGGCGGAAATTAGTATTTTCAGACATAAGAGATATAGATTACAAAAATTGAGAAAATATACTTTCATTCAACGATAAACAATCTGTTTTCAAATTATGGCAGCTACGTGGTAGAGTAAGTAGTGCTCGCAATTCACGAATTACTTGAAAAAAAAAACACCTTTCAAAATATCGTGCGGGAGAAAGAATTTACCTGAATCTGAAAAGCTTGCGTGTACTCATCAGAATACACCACCTTCTTGCTGCCCCGAGGAACAGCCGACTGAACCATGCAGACCAAAGATTGCCACTGGTTAAGATGCACAGAGTCCCCAACGAACATGATCCTCTTCCCTCTCAGTTTCTCCAACAACAGCCTCGGGTCGAACACGGCCAACGAACAGTCGCGCGGCTGCCACCTCCACTTCTGAAACAGAGCATCCTTCCTTCCGTTCCTCAAGCAAGTCGTCCACTCCGATAGGAACTCACAGTCTTCCTCTCTGTACAAGGGCCTTGTTGTCTCGTTGTCCATAACCCACTCTCCGTCAAATATATCGCAAGCTTCAACTTCTCGTTTTGCGTCGTCGGATCGGGGATTGGGTATTCGGAAAACAGAGCTCGGGTCTCCCCTGTTTCCGATGAACAAAACCCATCCCAGGAAGCAGAGGAGGAAGATTGCCGCGACGGTGAGAATTGGCTTGGAAGAGTTGGATAGGGTGTGGGTTGGGGTTGTGAAAGGTTTCATCTTTTTTTCAGTTTTGTGGAAATGAAGTTTAGAATTTACAATGTGGCGGGATTATTTTGTATAGTTTTTGGTTAATGGGGTGATCAGAAGTTGTTCAGCAAACCATGAGAGTAGAGATGGTGACCAAAAGGATCTTTGGATTTGGTGAACTTCCAAACTGCTCTCTTCTAGTCGCTAAGGGGATTCAGTTTTTTTTTGTCTGAGGGGATTGAATGTTTTGATTGTGGAATTCGTTGGAAACTAAAGTTTGGAATATTAAGTACTAACAAGGTTTTACCCTGCAGTATCTGAACAATTTACAATGTTGTACCACAAGATACCAAATTCTTAGTTTTTTTTAGCTATAGAACACAATGCCTTCTTAGCAATAGTATGCGTCATAATCTAGGGTTCACAAAGGACCGTAGAATTCTTATTGAGTTTATAGACGGATAATTGTCCAAGGATTCATGCATTATAAAAGCACTCGACCTCTTTTCTTGTTTAAAATTTTTAGCATGCAATAATTACATTTGTGTAATGTAGATACAAAAATATATATATTCGTTTAATCTATCATAATAATGACAATATCGATTATCGTATGTTATCAAAATAAAGTGTAACTTGTAATATTGGAAGATCTTAACTTGATAGAAACCTTGCTTATATGGGTTGTCCATTTCAATACAAAACATGTCATTTAAGTATTAGGATTTCTCTTTGTTTCGTGAATTCGATTGGTGTATTGACTATTTTTGTTTTCTCTTTTTTACTTGATGACATGAGTGGTCCAATGTAAAAACTTAGCCTAATAAAGGAGTAAACACCATTTTTTGGTAGATGGAAGTAAACCCCATTAATTAAGGCTCATAATTTGACAATTTACTTGAGACAGTCTTCTTCTGCAATCATTATTCTGCTTTGTAGCGGTGACATTTTACAGTTGCAAACAGTGATAAAAACAAAAAGAAACAAAAGGCTAATGTGCTGGTCTCCCACTCCACCTTTCCCGCCCCAATTAACGGCACAATCACCTCATTTTGTGCCTTTCACTTCCCTTAACCCTATACGCCGTTCCCATCGTAAAATTACCGCGGCACTCAGAATTCGAGTTACCGTGAAAGGCAGTAAAAAAAAAAAAAAAAAAAGAGAGACATCAGATGCCAGAATCGATAGAGTTTTATGTTTACACCACCTTATGTTCCACCGGCGGGCATCCTAGCAGTAAAAAAATTCAATTTACAGTAACCCTCTTCACATTTTGCAAAAGTAAATAAAAATTGCCCAAAATTAATTCACAAAAAGAACCAAAAATCATTCTTTTTTTCTTTTTCCCCTCTGGGCTGTATGGTGATTGCGGGCGTTATTTTACTGTTCTGCCCTCAGCTCCCTAAATTGTCAGGGGCGAGAAATAATGCGGGTATAGAGGAACTCGTTCCACGTATCGGGCAACCCGGGCAGGCACCAATGTATGCAGTCGGCGTACGTCGCCGGATCCGCCTGCTGCTCCGGCGACAGCATCTTCCCCTGCCGGATCGTGTACACCGACGTGTGCGCGTCTTTCCGGTATTCCGACAACTTCGTTATGTTGTTGAAGTGGACGGGAATCTTCATCCCCGCCGTCACGTTCGCCGCTATCACCAACAGCCGCCGGTCCGTCCCCACCTCCAGCGGCATCGTTTGGTTCAGAATCGGCGTCGTTTCGAGCGCACACTTTATTCCGCTCGGATTCTCCCAGTCCTCGCTCCTGTAATAAAAAAATAAAATATTTAATCTCGTTGCTAAAAATAATTAAATTACAGAGAAGCGTGTAAGATAAGCAATACAATGGTCAAATTGGAACAGCCGACACTTTGTTGTACTTTTATTCCGTATATTATTATAATTAAATAACCTAATTACATTAATGCATGCAATTTACTACAATAAAGATCATGATTAGTTTACTAACACTCAACATTAGATCACGGATTAGTAAACGAAGGTGAGAAGAAATAGATGGGGTTACTTGATATGGAGAGGGGACATGCTGCTGAAGAACACCATAGTACGATTAGGATCCACGTTTTGGTCAACCCAGTTGGACCAGGTATTCAACACTCTCTGGTAAGCTACGGGCCGTGAGATCTCTTCGTACTCCGTTGCTCCATCATCGAACGATCCTCGTCTGTGCCACGCGTGGCGCGAGAGATAAGCAAGCAAATAACCCGTAATGCATGAAATTTAGCATATACATGATTAGGATTGAGGAATAGCAATTGAGGTCAGGAGGACTTACAGGACTTTCATTGTGAAGGTGTTCATCCACCAGATGTAGGTGTTGAAGATGAGGTAGTCCACGTCCTTCCAGTTGGCGCCGTGCTTGTCTATGGACTCGGGCATTATGATCCTGTTCAGGATGCTGTGCATCAACGGGTCGTCGGAGTTCGATTCCACCAGGAACGGCGCCCAGTAGAACTCCACCGTCGCGTTGTAGTCCTGCAGTGCAGCCACTCACTGTTAGAGAGTGGTATAAGATCCAGCATAACGTTCTCCCAACAACTCGAGTTATTGGGATCAACTAGTTCATGACATTGTATCAGAGCCTTCTCACCATAAGCCACTCTCTCTAACACCCACACCCAATCATTTTCGTTAATTATCCTTCCTATAGTTTGACTGATTGGTTGCTTGTTACAGAATACATCTCTTGAGTAAAATAATATTGAATCGGAGGTCGGCATCAAACCAAAAGTCAGATACATCTCTTGAGTAAAACAGAATCGTTTTTGTATTAGGTGGGTTTTCAGATTAAACAAACAAAAAGATTCAAGAGATTCCATTTTGTTCAATAGTTGTAAAACAGAGGCCAAAAAAGATCAATAATGGTGAACAAAAGAGACAGAGAAAGGGAATTAAAGCTGTGCATGGGGTGGGTAGAGAAAGCTTTCAAAAGCAGCGTGGCGATATCTTCCAAATCTCAATAAAAATAGGATTTTTCTAATACTGGGGGTTTCATTCAAAGCTTGGCCACAACCTAATCTACCTTATCTTAGCAAGAACATGACAAAAGCAATCCCATTTATGATTCTATGCTCTTCCCTTTCATAATTCAAGCAATGAAATTTGGCACCAAGAGGAAAAAACAGAGACACTGCGCCCTCCTTTCGAAGAAAAAAACAGGGGAGGAATTGGTCAAACTGTAAAAAGGAAAATAGGTACCGTAAAGAGTAATTTTAAATTTTTACCTCGATCCTGAAAACAGCCAGAGAACCCGTCTTGTTCAAGCTCTTTCTTTCTGGAGGGATCACGGACTGGACCAAGCAAATCATTGATTCCCACTGGTTTCGATTCAGCGAGTCACCAACGAACATCAGCCTCTTGTTCCTCAGCTTCTTCAGCAGCAGCCTCGCCTTGAACCTTTTTTTCCCCCCACACCAGCACCAAATTCATCAATCATCATTCATCACTGAACTCTGAAATTCTTTTCAATTAGCTTCGCACTTACTTGGGCAAAGAGCAGTCTCTGGGCTGCCACCTCCAGTTCTGGTACATGGAGTCCTTCCTTCCGTTCCGCATACAAGTCACCTGCGCCGTCAAGAACTCGCATTTCTCCTCCTTGTACAGTGGGTGGGTCGCGTTGTCGAACACCCATTGGCCGTTGTACAGATCGCAATCTTCCGGCGGCAGTTCCACGTCGTCCAAATCGTCTCCTTCTTCTTCTACTAACTCTACAGCGGCGGTGGTTGAGTCGGGATCTTGGGCGGCTTCTTGGGAAGTGGGCCAGGAGAAGGGGAACTCGGCCATTGACTTGACGTCTTCATTGTACATGAAGATCCCGAAGAGGAAGATGGAGAAGACGACGACGAAAACAGAGAGGTTGTTGTTCTTCCTCTGCTTCATTGCTGCCGCTGTGAAAGACGAGAAGTGATGGGATTTCCTTCGAATCGACGGCTGCATGTTAAGGAAAAAAGAAGAAGCGAAAGCAATTGAAGGGAAAGAAGAATGAGATTGTATTATATAAAGACTTGATAAACAGAAGTGTGTGGGTAGAAGAAACTGAAATTAGAAGCAGGAGAAGAAGGGAATAAGAAAACAGAGGTTTGATAAAAGCTTAGTGGAAAAGAAAGGGACTTGCTTACATACTTACTTACATCCAAAGAACCAATCTTTTTCTCTTCTTTGTTGTTGGGGAGGATTTTTTTTGGGAAGAAAATGGGATTTGGTGAGATGGGTTTGTCTTGGGAAGAAACTGGGTGTTTAGGGTGCTGGTGGAGGGGGAGAAGTCATTCTCAAGGATTGTTTTTCAGTTCCCCTCTCCACCTTAGTTTTGTGTATCTTCTGCTAACAACTTTCAGCTGCTGCCTTCTCTTCTTCATATCTCTCTCTCTAGAGAGAAAGGAAAGAAGAAGATGGACAGCGAAACAGGGGATAAAGAGAGATAGAGAGAGAGAGAGAGAGAGAGACAAAGGAGGTGTTTGAGACTTGAGTGATTTCAAAGTTAATATTTCTTTTTATTCTTTTCTGGGGGGCGTGGTCTGGTCTCATTCCCTAACGAGAAGGAAAGGCTTGGGTGAAGAATGGTGGGGTATGATTATGGAGTTCTGTTTACTGGCAGACCATAAGTTGCTATCCTCCTAGATCAGGTTCAGAGCTGGCTTCACACAGAACCAAGCAAAATGGCTATTTGGATTATACTTATGGTAATGGGTATACTTCGTGATTATAGGGTTCATTTTCACCATTCAAAAAGGCATTTGAGTTCGGTTTAGCCGTTTAGGTCAAATATTGAGAACCATAGTTGGTAACAACAAGAAGTCCAGAAGAATTGAAACCCTATTAAATTTAGAAAAGGACATGCTTAATGGGGATCAATCCCTCATATATGAATAGAACTTTTGTTCTAATCTAGGGTCAAAGGTTTGAGTTGGGAGCCACCATTTTCTGACCATTGGCAAAATGACAATGTGGAAGGGTTCAGAACTCGAAAGATGTGGGGTCCCATGGTCATGGCCATGAATGATGAGTATGTTGGCTTGGGTGATCTGATCAGACAGTTTGCAGCTGGCCTAGTTACAACGTACAGGTCGCCATGTGAGTGGGGGTTGGAGAAATTTCAGTTAAGGGCAAATCCAGAAGTCCAGAGCTTCCATGGCTATCTCAGTTAAGCAAACAGAGACAGAGAAGCTAGAGAGAGTGGAATTTTGGGAAATTTGGTACATACCTAATCCAGTTGTAATTTAGAGTTGCTAGTTATGTTGTGCAAACCAAAGAAGCTTCCTTTTTGTTGTGGTTGTTGTTTTTGGTACAGATTAGTAACATCCCAAGTTGGCACTAGACAAATCCAGGCTAATGATGAGTATACCAAAGCACTATAGTACTCATGGATGACTAACAGGTTAGCTCCAATAACTGATTCCTTTTCAATTCTCATTTTGATTGTAAGAGTGTTATATTGTAAGTTAAGGGCTCCTTACTCTGAAAAAAAACTAATGCAGGTGAAGGATGATTTAATGTTGTATCTAAGTGTAAATGATGATGGGTTGACCTGGGTAGGAATGCAAATGGAGAAATATTCTGAACAAGAAAGTACGAGATACAATCAGAGACAATAAGTCATGAGCGGAATGGTTTCCTTTAGTTTGAAAGCCCTACGATAATCCTGCTCATTGCTATATATATAACACTATGTTGGTTATCCTTGATATTGTTCGGACAATAAATAAACTATACATCGTAAAAACAAAATCATCCTAATGTGTTTTGCGCACAAAAGCAATTGAAACCAAACACTATTGAATCTTCCAATTCAAAAACTACTCATATAATTCCCAAGGACTTATGACGAAGTACAATAGTCAAAGCGAATTACTACGAAACCACAAGACGAGTATGATGGAGCAGAGCTAGGAAGGCACTTGTGACACTCTGCAATTAGGCTCCGCCGCTCCGCTCAGTGAAAGAGTGTTGCATAAGAATGTGCGGGAAAAGATAGATCACAAATGAGAGATTTGTTTGGTTAGAAATTTGTATTCAATTCGAATTATACTTCTCTTTAATGTGGATGAGTTGGTCGTATAGAGTTTTATTTGTTAACGTCTTGAACTTCTAATTAATTGTATAAATTTGTATCCGTCTCAAAATACGTCCGATGTATACTTTTATTTCTTGGTTAGTCCTAACAAAAAGATTGAAGTAAAAACAAGTAGACATTGTAACACATAAGAGGGCACACCTAATTTGTATCAAGTAAACATTATTGCAACCTAGTTATATTCGGGAAAACATATATATCGTGTTGTCTACTTTATAATACTGTGGTTGGATTTCTTTCTGATTTTCATATGTACATGTAGCTAGACTGTATAACAAGCAAATGAAAATGGCATGCCAACTCAAATAACGGTTACAATGTTACAAGTTTCACCTAACCTAACCAACATGTGAAAGAAACCTCAATGTTTGTGGGGTTGGTTGTCAATCTTCCATGCACTTCTATTTGACCTCAAAACTGATTAATTAAGTACCTAAGACCTTCATTACATATAAATATGTTTTGGTGACATGCAATTAATAGAACTCTATAGGAGGAAACCATGTGAAGTTTCTTAATCAAACACCAACTACACAGAACTCTTTGGATGGATGAATTAACAATTAAGTCTCTTGGTTTTCATTTAATCATGATGATTGGCAAAATTAACAGCCTAATCACAACCCTTCCCTGCCTACTACTAAGATTATGTGTAACTTTATGTTTGAGAAAAAGTAAAGGCTAAGGCAAATATGTAATAACCTCAATTTGGAAGTCATCTTTCTGTCTCTACTCTTTATTCTGTATTTTCTCCCCATTTTTAGTTTTATTGTATCTGCTCCTTCCTACATTGCTGGATTTCTAAGGCAAGGCTTGGTGGGCATACACACTTCTCACTACCAGAACTCCAGAAGACAATCCAACAAACAGAGGACATAATGGCAAGTGTACTTTCCATAGTACAAACTATTAAATACGTTTTCCAGGAGAACAAAGGATTAAATACCATGAATTGTTAAAACATAAAATGGTTTCATTGGTGAGACTAACGATTCAGAGTATTAACAGAGGTATAATGACTAAGCAGCTAAAAAGTAATTATAATATTATGATAAAACAAATCATGGGTTAACCAAAGGGAAATGATTTAATCGACAAAACCGCCCAGTACAATACGACACATCACAAATGATATTATATACGTGTATATAGCTCCATATAAGGAACAACTTAGTGATTTCACCATTTTTTTATCTATAATTTGTTTGGGAGTATTTGCGTTAGAACTAGAACCCTTCTACTATATTCTAAAGTATTGGTGCTTCGATATAAAAAAATGAACTTGTAGCATTGCATTAAAGGTATAAGCTCAACTTGTATCATAAAGGTACAAATTCAGTTTGTATCATAAAAAGAATTGTACAAGAAATATAAAGATACAAACTAAGTTTATACCATAAGTAACGTTAAAGGTAAAAATTCGGTCTGTACCATGAATGATTTTTTTTAAAATAAAATTATCAATACGATAAAACATTGTAAAATTCCTCAAAGAACTCAGATTAAATTATAAAGGAAACAAATCCATATAATAATCTGGTAATTAAAGAGTCATACCTCCATCACAAAAGTTATAGGCGGAGTTCCTCACCTTCCCTCCTCCAACTATAGAAAAACTGAAAAATCCCCAAGTAGTAAGGGAAAAATAGGATGAATAGAGAGCCCAACAATAAATAGTTTTCTCTTGTGAGGAGACCGAAATAAAGAATTGGTGATGATTTAGGTTATAGATTATAACATGCAAAATGGTTCTCGAATAGGTCAATGGAAAGGCCAAGAACGAGATCGAATAATTGAAAGTGGTGGAGGCGAAGTGAATAACACAATGATATGACAGAAAAGGTGGGAGCACAATGATATGCAATTACTTTGTTGAAGCAAGAAGATCCAAAACGACCATGAAACATGGGAGAAACCAATCAACAATTTACCTCTGCGGCTGTCGTTTCAGTAGGAGTGGCGATGGAGTTGGGCGATTGACTTCCCACCACGAAACCACAGAGGGAAGAAGAATTATTGGGATCTAATTCAGCTATCTTTTTTTTTTTTTAAAATTTTCCAGAGGCCAGAAACTGATTTTTTCATGTGAAGACTTCAAAAGAGACTTGTGCTTGTTCATAATATACCTTGTTCCATTGGATTTGTACAAGCAGAAGTTTTTGAACGTAAAAATAAAATTTGGTTTTGGTAGCTTAATAAACGAAATGACTTGTTTGGCTAGCTGCATTTCCTTTCTTGCTTTTGGTAACTTAATAGATGTCTCCAATTTCCCCCCCATAAAAACAATGTTGTTTTTGTAAATATTATTCTGGTCATCACATTTTTCGGGACCATGTAAGTTCTTTGTTGTTTTATCTTGTGCTACTTTTACGTTTTATTGGATTGTTTATTGTTTACTATCGACAACTGATGATTGATGTAACTTGTAAGTGATCTTACAAAATGATAAATGATTTTATTATTATTGTTATTATTATATAAGTGATAAAATATTGACTGTTGAAGTGACTAGTGAGTGTTTCGTTCCTATAGTTGTAGAAAACAATAAACGAACATATGCACTATTTTTATTTGTAAATGGTTCAAAAATAGTTTGTACACGTCAACAACGATTTGTAAACCCTATCCCAAATATTTGTAAACTTTTCTTATGGAGTATAAGGGGTCGTTTGGAAGTTGCGATTGTTAAATAAATGTATTGTTGAGAATGCATGTATAATATTATACATGTATTGTCGAATTTGATGCATTGTAGAATACAACGTTTGGTATGTGTGATTGTGTATGTCGCATCAACTAAAAGCTGAGCCAAAACAATATCAACTCAACTATCTCAACAATCACAACTAAAAGTTGAGATATAACAATCACTCAATATTAGTGATAGTTTCTGTCACATCACCGAAACAATCCATGTATTGTTTCTGCTAAAAAAAACAAAAATAAAAACGATGCATTGTAAACAATACATACATAATGACAATCTCAACAAAACAATCACAACTTCCAAGCGACCCCTAAATTCTTTGTTACAGACTACAAATTCTTATTGTATGCAACTGAAAAATGAAGATAGTGATATATATACATTATATATACCATAGTCTAGGGGAACGGGCTGGGCTCGGATGTAAGAGTAGTTGCACTTTGGTGTGAGCGGAAGCCTATTGGGCCGTGACTTGCTTAACAGGTCCAATCAGCATTCTTGCCCTGGCTCCTCTAGTCCTCTGTCTTACTCTCTCAGAAGTCAGATCTTTTCCCATTGAAACGACGCTGTACTGACCGCGTCCCAAACGCCCGAACCAGTCACCCCTAACCACGGCTCGGAGATAGGGCTGCAAATGAGCCAAGCCGCTCGCGAGCAACTCGGCGTTCGAATCGGAAAAAACTCGTTCGACACTCGACTCGTTATTTAACAAGCCAGCTCGTGAGCCAACTCGTTAGTTAACGAGCCAAGCCTGAGCTAGACCATGCTCAGCTTGATAAGCTCGCGAGCTAGCTTGATTCGGTGGCTTGTCGAGCTAAGCTCGCGAGCTGCCTTGTTTTGAGCTTGTGGAAGGATGAATTACTCTTTTAAACATGAACATTGTCTTATAATACAGATGTGTATGAAATTTAGATGTTATTTCTAGTTTCTAGTGTTCTTTCTATCATTTAAATTCTTATGTTTATACATTTTTCCAGCAAAAATGATTTTAAATCGAGCTCATCTTGAGCCGAGCTTGTACTCAGCTTAACAAGCTATGTTAATGAGCATTTATCGAGCTCTACCGAGTCGAGCTCGAGCTAGATTATTTTTATTCAAGCCGAGCTCGAGCTCGAGCTGGATTATCAAAATTCGAGTTCGAGCCGAGCTCGAGCTGAAAAATTAATAAACGAGCCGAGCTCAAGCTAAGCAAAAACTCGACTCGACTCGACTCGTTTGCAGCCCTACTCGGAGAGCAGCCCGCTACTGGTTTTGTTCGTGTTCTCCGTTCGGCCAAGCTTCCCTTATCTGCCATTTCTCCGTTCTCGATCGCACGGACTTGCTTCCCTGCCGGCGCCGCCGTCGTCTACTTCTCCCTTCTCTCCCGCCTTTTCTCTCGGCGGCGCAAAAAGAAGAAGAGCCCGACTCCGTCTTGCTAATGCTCTTCCAGAATATCTCTGCCCGCTCTTCTCCTTCGCCAGTAATTTGGTACGGTTTCCAGTACTTATTCGCTCCAATTCATTCTGCATTCTAATTGTGCTCAATAAAATCATACTGGTGGAATTTCCGTAACTTTTTCGCTCCATTTGTGAAAGAAATGAATTGTAATGAAAGAATCATTGGATTTCCAATTTGAGACCCGGGAGATTGAAATTAATGAATAAAGCTGCGATCTTTTGACATGCAGTAGACATTGAGCTCCGGTGAGAGCTTTGATGAGAGTTTGAATCAAGCAGTTGATGAAGAAGTGAAGAGTGTGGGAAGGGAAAGGGGGGTTTTGACAATGTTGGTGGGTGGTGGTTCTCGCATTTCACACCACTTACGAGAGTGCAACCACCGGCACAAGTACTATAGGGATCCCCAGCAAGCACTTGCAGTCGGGTTCGGCTTTTGCAGCTCAAGGATTGTTCAGCTCTCTTCCCTGATATTCAAACCTGAATCCACCGCTGTAGTTGGAGGCCGCCAGTACCGTAGCACAGTGCAGCCAAGAATCTTGTCATTCTCAAGCCTCCGGTCGAAGTCACCTGGCGAAATTCCCATTTTATCTGATTGTTTCAGGTAACATTCCTTGCCCCTCTCATATCTTTTTGTTCTCTCAAGTCTTAGTTTCATTGTTTGTGAAAGATGAGTTGAGATTTAGGGAAAATGTAAATGAAAAGTTGATTAGGTTTGTTAATTTAAGGCTTTCTTAATGTGCTTGATGCTGCATTTCTTTATTTTCTTTGTCTGGCACGGTCCGATGTGTTTATATGTATGTGACTCTTATTTGTATGTTCTATTTTTCGTGTGCATTGTTCCTCATGTTTGGTTAAGTAGCTGATGACTTTTCTTTGTGCAAAGCGATCGAGAAGATGATTGCAAGAACCTCTCTGAAGGATTGTCCTCAGTTGCAGGTTTGTTTTTGCCTACCACTTGCCTCTTGTTTCTACTCATAAATTTCGATCTACCTTTTGGTCACTTGCTAGCTTGAAAGAAACATACACTTGCTATTAGCTCGGTAGTTGAACACTAATATTTCAACATTGCAATGAGCGGCCACTTGTTGCACGATGTACTATCTAAATTTTATGCAATGGTAGCTTAAATAAGTTAAGGCTTTGTTCTGTCTATGCAATAACCACATGTTTAGATTTAGGGTTATCATTGTTCCTGACTCTGCTAGAATGATACTCTTGGTATACTAGAATCATCCAGCTTTCTGGCAATTCCACGTCTAATCTGAAATTTAGATAGTTTTCAGCCTTTCCTTCACTATTGCAGGAGGAATAGTAGCACTTGGAAAGTTTGAAGCTCTTCACATTGGTCACAGAGAACTTGCAATTCAAGCATCGAAGGTTGGAGTTCCATATCTACTATCCTTTGTCGGGATGGCTGAAGTACTTGGTTGGGAGCCTAGGTATTCTTCATTTTAATGCATAAAACATCAAGTGTTCTTCGTTTGCCAACAGAGCTTCTCTTTGTCAATTTACTTCGCAGCTGTCACACTGTAGCACTAAAGTTTACAGATCCAGTGAATCTATGCTCTATACTTGGATAGTGGAGTCTCCGCTCATATTCGTACTTTATTTTACAGGCCACCAATAGTTGCAAAGTGTGATCGGCATAGAGTCCTTTCGTCCTGGGCTCCACACTGTGGAAATGTTGTTCCAGCAGAGTTCCAAATGGAGTTCTCGAACGTCCGGCATCTCACTCCCCGGCAGTTTGTTGAGAAGTTATGCAAGGAGCTCGAGGTGTCCGGAGTAGTAGCAGGTAAAGAGCGAATCATCTCTCTGTTACCTTGCTCCTAATATTTCCCATCTCATTCCTTACATCTTCGGTAGTGCCTTAACAACAGAAACCTATTCCAGGGGAGAACTATCGTTTCGGATACAAAGCTGCTGGTGACACATCTGAACTTCTTCAGCTGTGCAATGAACATGGAATCCAGGCTTACATCATAAATTCAGTCATGGACAAGCATCGACGAGATCCCTTGAAACTTGATATAAATGACTCGAAAGATAAAGGTCAAGTCTCTTCCACTCGAGTTCGCCATGCTTTAGCTGCTGGTGACATGGATTACGTGACTGAACTTTTAGGCCGCCGACATCGGCTAATGGTAACTGGTGAAGAACAGAATTTGTGTGGAATTGATTCCAGCAGATACAAGGTCTCTGTCCCAAAATCTAGCCTGTTGAACCTCCCGCCCAAAGATGGGGCTTACGAGAAGTGCTCTCTTTTTCTTAACGATGAACATGATGATCTAGGGACACCTTGTAGAGTAACTATTGACTCTACTAGTGTCCATTTAGAGGTAGATTGCAGTAGTAGCCTTCGAGACGTTAAGCTTGTGTGCATTGAGTTTGGCGATTAAGAAAATTGGTTCAGGCTCAAATTTATTGGCTGTTATTTGACTTGAGATACAAGTAGATGTCTAATTTATTGTTGTTTTATGCGTTGAAGGGTTGAAAGCGTGCAGCCTCGTAGGTCGCCCCAAGAACTAATTGGAGCAATACTCTTTGAGAAAGAATTTATAAGTATAGAGAACAAACTTGTAGTTTACATTTTTTTTTGGGTAGAATTGTAGATTACATTTCAGATGCACATTGCAACACATTTCAGATTACATTTCCTATATACCGAACTAAAAAGAAGCTAGTGCAAATTTCAACTATCCTACATAGTACGCAGCTCAAAAACATTTGGTTGAGCTCTGCCATGATGTTATACAAACTCGCAGGAAAACAACTCCATTGTTGAGTAAGCTCTAATTTCAGGAACCCACAAAGTGCAGCACATGAACAAAAAACCTGCATATGGGTCCTTCACTTCACAAACGGAACCCCAGAAGGTGTCCGTTTAGCATAATCAAGATAATTCGACCCGAAAAACCGCCTCAAGTAGTACTCCTCATATGGTATCCTCTTCGAGAAGAAACGCCACACGACAGCAGCAAATCCAACTGTCGAGACAGGATTGCACAGCATGACCTGAGTACCCACTGCCCAGATCAAGAAAGCTGAATAACTAGGGTGACGAACAAGGCCGTACACTCCATGAGTAACCAGCTCGTGCTGCTCCTCATGACGGGTCCTGATGAGATGAGTAAACGCTTGTCCAGCGGTTATAATGGCGAGCTTCCTTATTATCTCCCCAATCAGAACCATGACAAGGCCTAAATTGCTGATCCCCCAATGTTCTTTCAGGTCGGGAAACATCCATATTTCAAATGCGTACTCCAATACTGAGAAAGCCATGGCGACGAGATAGCCTCTGCTGATGAGAAGTGAGCTCAGCGAAACCTTTGATCTCCCATGTATGGAAATTGCTAGAATGAATTCTGATGTGTGGAAGAAGAGAACGGCCAGAAACATCCGATACAGCTGCGTGCTCGCCGTCTGAGTGAAAAGGTCTGCCATTTTGCTGATAACGATTGAGAAAACCTATGTGGCTGATGAACTTAAGGTATTCCACCCAAGCTTTATACTGTTGCTTGAGGAGTTTGGGTCCAGACCAGGAACAAAAGAACAAGCACACACCATCAGAGTTCTCGAACGTCAGGTTTTGATCATCACCCAAAAGGGTTAAAGGCGCTTAACGGACAGCATCTGCAGAAGAGAAGCGAAGGCACTTCAGATGAGCTAACCCTAGAAATGAAACTCAAAAGTAGTAACAAATGAAAGCCATAAACTTTTCTAGTAATTCCCTGGCGCAATCCAATTATGCCATGCAAATATACTAATTGCGAAATTGGGTCACATCTAAATCTGCAACAAAGCCAAATCAGGAGAATTTGCATGGATTCTCTACAGGAACTGAGCCTATAAGGAACAAATAATCACTCTAATCAAAGATATAAAGCAACAGAAAAAACCAATTTGCCTCCACCGCTCAGATTAGTCGCAATACTCAGCGAATTGCAAGCGCATTAAGACCTAAATTTCGTTGAAAAGAAACAGGTATAGCAACTCCACCATTGATGGAGCTGTAGACAGTACCTGTTTGAGAGCTTTCTCTGATCCGCCGAAGGAGGGAACAGGAACGAATTGAGAAGAACCTCCGGTGGCGGTGGAGGAGGATGGCAATGATCAACGGCAGTTTTCCCTGACGGAGGAGGTCGATGTAATCGAAGTATACGATGAAAGGAAGAAGGTTGCAGGGAAGGAATTAGTTTTTTGATTTTTCCCTTTTTTGGAAGGAATTAGTTAAGCGGGTGAAGATCTGTCTTTCGGGGTTGATTAGGGCCTACGGGCTCCCCTCGCCCATTTCATTCTTAGCAAAGTTAGCCCAATAGCAAATGAGCTGTTTTAGGTTTTCGGCCTCGAAGGTAATGGGCTTATGGCCGATCTTTTCCTATTGACATAACTTCAAACCACACCTAACTTTTATCCATACTAGTTGGTGCCCGGCCGATTGGCCGGTATAGTTTGTTTCCTTATTTATTTATATATAAATATTAGTTTAGTATCCTAATTAATTAATATTATCAATTTGTTCAAATGGGTTACTCTTCTCTTTTATTTTCTTATAGCTCGAGTTCCTATAATCAATAACCAATAATAGTTTTTTCTCCAAAGCTCTCGACTATCAATTAAGCATTGTCAATCTACAATAGATTAATGATCTGTGCCAAATGTTTTATAAGAATCTACGCGAAGATTGTAATATGAACTATGGAGATGTATTATTAGATGAATTGAATATGTAAAAAACAATCATCAAAAGTAGGTGACATGTTATATATAAGTAATAGACTAATAGTTAATCAAATTGCTAAAGTAGCTGGTTTTAGATAATTGTTCATCGTATTGAGAGTTGATTGTTATTATTGGCTTTATTTATCTTGTTAGTGGTTATATTACAACAAAACAAACCTTTTGAACTCTAATCACTTACCAACATTTTTTTATATAATGCACTTACCAACATTATTGCAAACACTTAAGAAATATTAATTCTAAAGTACTCAAATACATCAATGCAATTGAGACTACCATTACCATAAGAATCCAACAATGAAGTAACATCAAGCTTTAATTTCCAACTTACATAGTGCTTAAGTAACTGGGTTATTGTTAGGTGGTAGAATCGGATTCAATTGAATTGACCCAGAATTTTATTTTAAGACATATGTATCCAATGTAATTAGTGGAGAATTCAGTGACCCCATTATAATTTATGTTATCATAGAATGATTTTATCTTTAATCTGTTTTAAAAATAGGAAATTAAAAAAAATCCTAAACCTAATTCGCGTACCCAGCAACCCTTCATCTTCCTCCTTAGCCGCAAGTGTACGTTCCTTTTTGTCTCTCTCTCTCTTACTCTTCCTAAACCAAAGAAAACCCATCGAAAGAGAACCAACTGACTTTCTTTCCTCCCGCAATTATGCAAAGTTGCAAACCCACACCTATTTTCTTTATTCAATGTGCCCCATCTCTCCATATCTTTCTTCCTCTCCACCAAAGCGAAGTAAACCCATGGAAACCATAGCTTCCAGTGACATGCAAATGGTATTTCAAGAGATTTCTGGTCGGATTTTGTGTTCTCTGTTTTCCCAGGTCCAATTTTCGCTTACAGTGCGAGAGATTGAACTGAGAGAGAGCGGTCAGGACCAGTAGAGAGAAGGATAATAGGATAAGCTCAAAATCGGTCGCTGGGGAAATGGAATGGAAGGGGAAGGAGTAGGCAATCTCGTAAGGGGAGAAGAACTTTGAGACGTCGAGGCGCAAGGTCCAATTGAGCGGCGGAGAGGTTGTTTTTTAAGCCAATAGAGGCTACAGAGGATATTCAAGGCGAGAGCACGATGGGATTTTGGAGGAGAGTAGAGAGAAATCGAGTTTGAGGGGCAGTGAATTTCTCACAGGGAGAGGAGAAATCGAGCTTGAGGGGCAAGAGATACCAGGGAGAGGGGAAGACGAACGTGGATGAAATAAACACGGAGAGTGAATTTACAACTAAACCCCTCCGACCTGTGCGGGTTGGCGAGAGCATGCTGAGGTGGCAGAATTTTTTTTGTTGACATTGCCTTATATTTATTTGTAGATCAATTAAAGAATTAAAATTTTTTTTGTGTGTGAATTAGAGAATTTTCAATTTATTTTGATTTAAAGTATGGCCGATATTTTAAAAATAAAAGTGTAAGGTGAATGAAAAATTTGTAACCAAGCATAACAAGTGACATAAATAATCTAAATTTCAATACCTCATGAAAAGTGTGATGTAATCGAATTTGATAGTCCAACACTTAAAGGCGTCTGATCTGTTATGTAATGTGGGTCGTTTTATATGCCTTATCTATAAAATGTTTGGTTATAATTGAGTTTGTATGCAAAAAAATCTTCCTATTCCAGTTGCCTTCAAATAATTTTGAGATTGTGTACAACTCTAGCCACACGAATAATGATACCTCCTTTAAGATAACTAAAAGACTATGATAAAAAAGCATTATCTTTCGTAACAATACCACTACGTGACATAATAGAAAATTACAACTTTTCTAAAAAAAAGAAAAATACAACTCATAAGGAACCATCACTATTACTTGACTCATTGTTAATGCATAACCTGTAATAGCAACAACAAGGCCATTGGTCTATTGCAATTTGCAACTCTTAACTCATCAATTTGATCCCCCTTTCTCTATTTATCTCGACCTTTTGTCTTTCTGTTCCACCACCATTATCTTCTGTCCCTCTCAGTTTTTGGGGTTTAAATCACCACTAATCAAATGATTTAAACATCATAAATACAGGACATATATAATATACACATGACAAACCCATATAATTTAATAAAAAGAAAAAAAAACAGAAGATGACAGCAAAGCACACTTCTGGTAGCACAAGAAAAATACCAAACAAAATTCAACAAAAGTACGCATAATAACGGGATTAATTAAATTAAATACAAGCGCACGGAACAATTCAAAACAATTAAAAATCTCCAAACAATATTCCCTATTTGGATGGCTGGCCTCTAGAAGCGGTATCTGTCGAGTGGATCCTTGAAGAGAAATGGTTCGTGGTAAACTCTCCATGCATAATCCTCCATCTCAATTGATCTAAACTTCATTGATCCACCTCCTTCTTTCTCGTCGTCTTCTTCTTCCTTCTCTTCACGACAATATTCCAGCTGCTTATCAGAAACTAGTGGTGAGATTGTGCTTTCTAATGGAAGAGTCAGCAACAATGTCATGGATATGTTCCTCTTTGATCCCAAATTACTTCTTTTCTTGTCATTTCCTAATTCTTCCAAACACGGCACTGCCCTCCCCCTCACTTTCTTTAGCTTCCCATTGCTCCACACCTGCAAAATTGTAGATATTGCATCAACCATTACAATACGGAGGCCAAATCTTTTCCGATTCCATTTGATTGCTGAACTGTGAAGATGTGTGAGAAGGAGCTAGTGTGTGCAAAACCGAACGTTAAATTTTACATCTTACATGTGTCACATTCATCTAATACGTTAAGTATAATGTGTACACCTATCCATTCACCAATACAATCAAATTCACATTTATTTGTTGACAAGGTAACACAAAACGCTAATCAAGGCTTAACTAGTTCTGAATTTTTAACAGGATTTTGTCAAACACGTTTCCCGCCAGACGTCCAACTTGGTGGGTGGTGGGTTTTGACTGATTATTTTGAGCAGCCTAATAAACAATGAAGGTGCTGTTTGGATGGGTACATAATCCAGTGGCATTCGTCACTGTCATTACCCCACAAAGACAAAAAGAAAAGGACTCTTTGTTTGAATCGAAAGTTGAATTTGGCTCCTTAATAAAAGATAATACTAATTAATTTCTTAATCAGACCTTCCCCTTCTGGATTTCCGGGGGGAGAAGTGGATCCCTAAATCCGGCCATAAAAGCTTACCTGCCAAACACGGTCCTACACTTACGCCAGCGACAGTAAATAGAATAACAGAAGGAAACAATAATAAATAAATAAATAAATAAAAGTGGCTGACCTGTCCAATGTCACCGACGGTAACCAAAACCGACTCCACCTCGGGCAAGACGGCTACCCACTCTGACCCGGAACCCGGCAGCAGAAACCGCTTCTGACTCCGTATCTGGTACTGCAACCCGACCACGTACGGGTAGAATCCGCCACCCGAAGGCGTTTCCCCGCCGCTCGTTGTCTCGCTCTCGCTCAACACCATCACGGAGCAAAACCGGGTCGGATCTTCCTTGAACGGGTTCTCGAACCCGACCCCACGCGCCAGCATTTCGACCACCTCCAACCCGACTCTCTCCAGGGCGTGAGTCAGCTCCCGCAAGGACGACAGCGACGTCAACTCGGTCGTCGCCGAGTCGTCCAGCCAAAACGACTCGCCGTTTCCGTCCTCTTCATCGGCCTCGAATCCGAGAGGCCAGTTCCTCGGGAACTGCATTTCTTTTCTGTCGTCGGGGAGTTCGAACAACGCGAGCGATTCCGACTCGGCGGATTCGGCGAGCTGGGGGGCGATTCCGTGGCCGGCGAGTTGGAAGAACCCGTGATCGGAAGCGGCGGAGAGGACTAGTTCGCTGGCGTTGGGGTTGGTGAGAGTGATGAGCGGAGGAGAGGTCGGTGGCGCGACGAACGGGGCGGCGGCGGAGGAGAGCGGAGAGGGGCGGAGGCGAGCGGGGAGGGAGAGGGATGGTGGGAGGCGGGTGAGGAGGCGGGAGAGGGTGTCGGCTGCCATGGAGGCGGAAGTGGTGAGATGGTGGTGGTTGTGGCTGTGATTGGGTTGTGCTGAAGGGGTGGGCGGTGGGGCTGCGGTGGTGGTGGCGGCGGAGTAGGGGTTAGGGAGGTTGTGCTGGTCGTGAGCGGCGGAGGAAGAGGCGGCCATGTTTTTTTGCTTTGGTGCGGAGTTGTTCTGTTCAGTATTGGCGACAATACGCGCCAGGATTTGTAGGGGGGAGTCGCACACGTGTGTCTGTGATCACACGTGCGGTTGTTTAATTGCATTCCTCTATTTGATTGTTGTTTATTTGATAATGTGTTTATAATAAGATGCTCATTTGAAAATTTTATTTATTTACACAAAAAAAAATTTATTTATTGTCCATGGTTATCCTCTCTTCCACGGCCATAAAATTTTATTTAATGTGTTTATAATAAGATAACTAATATTTCTGAATCGTAACTATTGGTTACTATGTTGTGTAATGCACATTCGATATTGTGATGGAAATGATAAGCTTTCAATTATATCAAAGTCATAAGGGTCATCAATTTTCTCCACCGAATTGATCGATGGAGTAATGAAATATTTGATACCTCTGCCAAAGGATTTAAATCCACACACGTATGGAACCTTGGTGTCTACTATGTGGTTAATGACTTTGTTTTATTTGTCACTGGATACTTCGTTTAAAGTGACAAATTGAAAAAGTTCTTATGCTTTACATGTCACAAGTCACAACTATTAGATATATCCACAAGCGACAAAATGAGAAGTGTCTAAATTGCTAGTTCCATTCTAATTTGTGAGGAACTTGTTGCAAGTATTAGTCAACTTGCATAATGGATAGTTGACAAATTGCTTTTGCATATTAACTCATAATCCAATATCATCCACCCAAAGAAGAATGTAAATAAATAGCGGATCACAATTATATCAACTCATTAATAAACAAATGGATCAATTTGAGACCAAAATCTATCCAACCCACGAGGCCATGACTAGTTAACCCACTCCCTTGGTGTTTCAAAACTCAAGACAAGGGAAGTTCTTTTAGAAAGAGCAGCAGTTTCTTTTGTTAAAGTTAATTGTGTAGGTATCAATCTAGTTTGGATATGTCAGCTCCTGAAAGAGTTGGGTGTAACTTGTCGAGTTTCGATGCGTCTATATGGTGATAACACCAGTGCTATCCATATTGCGATTAATCCGACAATGCACGACAGAACTAAGAACATTGAAGTTCATGTCCATTACATTAGACAGTTAGTGGCTGAAGGATTGATACAGATTGGTTATTTGTCGACCGAAGACCAGACTGCAGACCTCTTGACAAAGTCGGTGCCTTCTAGTCGTCATTGGTACTTATCCTCCAAATTGATGTTGCGAACTGCACATCATTTTAAGGGAGGGTGTTAAAGTTAGTTGTGTAGGTATCAATTTGTAATTAGCCATGATAGTCTAAAGTAATTAGGAATAGGGTTATACCCTATATAGGGTTCGGCCAACCCTCCTTGTACGATTAACGAGCATAGTGAAACCTCTTGAAGAGCACAACCTCTTCCGTAGATTAATCCTGTTCATCAGGGATACCACGTTAAATCTCGTGTGTTCTATATTGCGTTCTTAATTCTTTATATCTTTATCTCGCACCACCGATGTTTAATGATCTTTCCAAGTTTGCCTGCTTTGCTTTTGCAATAGCGAATCTTGCAGTGCCCTTTCATGATTTAAAGTTGGAAATCGAGGATTCTTCACTACATCGACCCAGTAACCAACCGTGCCCTGCTTTTCTTCCCTAATGGAGAAGTAGTACAGATCATTCACTAGTTAGTTCATTCGACGCCATCACGTGAGGCACCCACACAGGCATTACATTGCGAGTAAAAGTGTTTTCCCCTGTGGGGATTATAATGATCCATCACTTTTTCCAAAGAATCCTGGGTGCCCTGTTTTCATGTAAAATACATAATGGGAGTTCGTTGGCCTTGTTGTGAGGAAGCCTGCCGCTGCTTCTGCTGCGTGCCAGTTAGCCACTGCATCTATATTATATATATGTACGCTCTCTCGAGCAATACAATTTAAAATATGCAGCAGAGCATAATTTACCCTTACTCTACTGTCGTCTGGTACTTTTGGTTCGTTGGGGCATTGTATATTTGCACGCCTGAGCAATGGAAGTAAAGCTAGACTGGTCTTGCGCATTCTAGAAAAAAAAAAAAAAAAAAAGAAGAAGAAGACTGGTCCACTCCCATACATCATCAAGAGTTGTCTTATTAATTGCGTCCCTTTTAAGGGAAGAGTTTAGGAGAGCAGTCAAAGTAACCCATAAAATATTATCAGAATTCCAAAGCTCTTACATATGTCGTTGATTTGCGCCTAGCTATCAGCTATCAAAGCTGCTTATCCCCTCCTTTTGCTGAGCCTTTAGTTCAGTTTGGTTCAGAAGCATGTGCCCAAGAGTGTTTTTTTTTTGGGACAAAAGGAACACTTGTATTGCATTGAAAATCACGGTTAAAGGGGCAGAAACACACTGTAAGCTCGAAACAGAACAACAATGGAGTTCAAAGTCAGAGCAATCTAAAACAAAAGCAAAAGCCAGAAAATGAACAGGAATTAGATTGATCTCTAACAAAAGAAAATCCATAACAGGAGGCTAACAATGTGAGAACCAAATCCCCTTGCTTTCGCAACCATCAACACAGCACAAGCAAGGTTTCAACTCGCCCGAAACTAGAATAGCCCATGGCAATTGAACTTGCAACACCATAAGCCGCCACCTGGGGATCGTTCCAAGACGACTCATCACAGTGAATCTCATGGAAGGGATTACTCGGCGGTGGACAGGCTGAAACCGGGATGCTCTGAGCTGAAAAAGCCGAGGAAGCCGGAGGCAAGGATGACCAGGAACAGGACACACAAAGAATAATCTTCACCATCTCCAGAACACTAGCGAAACACAGCCAACGACGTCGAAAATGACAGTAGACCCCACTTCAGTCGACCGAAACAGAAGCACTCAAGCAAACCAGAGGTAGATGGAAGGAAGATCTGTGAATCTACTCACCAAAAGAGGTAAGCACACCAACATGGAGCAAAACACCCAACAGCTAAATTTAATTTAGTATAATTTTTTTTCCTTTCAATTATTAAAAATATTGTTAAATTATCAAACCGGTTCGGTTATAAATTGGAGGGGCTGGCTGGTGCAGACTCATATTTAATGGTCCAGAATAAAGCCCATAAAATGGCATGATCAACATCTCGAGCCCAGCAGAGGAGCCCGTCAACATTGGTATGGTACCTACCCCTACTGAACTGGGCCGAGCCCACCAGAAGGAAGGCCCAGCCGCTGATTATCCAGACGGAAACCGTGTGGAAACTGAAAAGTGAAAACGGAGGGCCGGCTGGTCGCAACGACGAGGAAAGGAATAATATTCGATTAGTCCGGCGAAACTTTTGGTCCGAGTGAGCAAGCGGGACCCACTTCCAACCCGAGCGCTTAGCTAGCGACGCCACAACTCGACGAACTAACGAGCGTAACGAAGTAACGAACTAATTTCAGAATCGCCGCTGGAGACTTGATTTGGTCATATCAGTATCCATCCCTCAACGCCGCCGGACGGCCGGAGGAATTCGAATTCCACACCGTCGGTAGGAAGATTCACTTCCCGGAGCATCAGAAGGAAGCCAACAAATCGGGCACGATCATCTTCTCCATTGAACTGCCTGCCGGAGGAATTTGAAATTGAACCGGTGCGAGTCGGAGCAGCAGAAGGAAGGAAGGGAACTAGCTTATCGCAGTCGTCATTCGTCCTTTGTTTGACTCAACATGTTCTCTAAATTCTTTCGTAAGAATGCCAGTGTGGCGAAGCAACCTCAGCCTTCTGCTCAGGTATCTTGGTTTCTTGACCTCCCTCTCTATCTCTGCTGCAATGGCGGATATTGTAATGAGTTTTCCGAACTTGCTAGGGCAGAATTTGATGTTTTTACATTTATCCATTGAACGAAATGGAAAACATACAAGAAAACTGGTCAAGAGTAGAATTGAATTGAGTTTGGAGAAGCATAAATTGTGGAATTGCTAAGTGTTGGTGTTGCTTTGTGACAGGAAAATGCATCAAACGCGATCTTAACTTCCAAAGACATAAATCCTCGGGTTAATCTTCACTATGGAATTCCATCTACCGCGTCTGTTATGGCTTTTGATCCTATTCAAAGCCTTTTGGCAGTAGGAACACTGTCAGTCCCCAATTCCAGTCCCAATTCTTTTGTTTTTTGAGATCGTTTCAGCTTCAAATCCAGCTTATTCAACTACTTTAACAGCATGGTTTATGCTTACTGAAGTCAGGTGGCTTAGCTTTTGTTGGTTATTTGTTGCAGGGATGGGAGGATAAAAGTGATTGGCGGGGATAACATTGAGGGGCTTCTGGTGTCTCCAAAGCATTTCCCATTCAAGTACTTGGAGGTTTGAAATTATGAAGCACCAGTCTTTAAGCATCTTCGTTCGCTATAATATAGCGTACACCCTTGAAATTTTACTTCCATGTTTTGGTTTGGCAGTTCCTACAAAACCAAGGTTTCTTAGTCAGTGTGTCAAGTGAAAATGAGATTCAGGTAGAGTCTCTGCTGACGCTCAAAGATTAAATTTGGAACGTAAATGTGTTTAAAAGTAGGTGAATTGGTGCTTGTTTGGTGCCTACAGGTTTGGGATTTAGAACAGAGACGGATGACGTCTTCCTTGCGATGGGAGTCCAGTATAACTGCATTCTCAGTGATACATGGATCAAGCTATATGTATGATACTTGGAATTTGAGAACTGTTTCCCAATTTCATACTGGAGCAGCGATTTATTGTTATACTCTATTTGACATGCTATTATGATCTCAATGCTTTAGGTATGTTGGAGACGAGTATGGTATGGTGTATGTGGTAAAATATAATGCAGAAGAAGCATCCCTTGCGCCTCTCCCATATTATGTTCCGACAAGTGCAATAGATGGTAATCTTAAACCTCTGCCACCCCTTTTGATGAAAAAAGAGTGGAAGGAAGGGTTATGTTCAAGAGCTTTCTGCATAAACTTCTTTTTTTTTGTGTGATAATTATAGAAGCTTGTCCGGTGCTCCTGTTGGTGATACCTGTACATAATTAGCACTGGATTTTGCTGAATTCTGCAGAAGCATCTGGAGGATCTTCATCTGGTCAACACTCTATTGTAGGAGTTCTTCCCCAGCCATCTTCTCAAGGAAATAGGCTAGTGCCTCTCAATCTTTTTTTTTTTTTTTGCTTTTCTCTTGAAAGAGTTGGAATCCTGCTAGTTGTATGTTCTTCCCCTGGTCAGTGTGAGGCTGGATGTCTGCTCCCTTCTTGCTTAAGTCTTCCTCTTTTTGCAGAGTGTTAATTGCTTATGATAATGGATTACTCATTCTATGGGATGTGTGTGAGGATAAAGTTGTCGTAGTTAAAGGGAATAAAGATCTTCAGTTGACGGGCAAAATTGCTGTCAATTCTCAAGAAGAATTATCACAGGAGGAACCTTCAGATGATGAACAATTGGAGAAAGAGATAAGTGCTCTGTGTTGGACATCTGGCAGTGGGACAGTTCTTGCTGTGGGTTATGTTGATGGAGACATAATGCTGTGGAACCTATCAACAAATGTTCCATCTAAAGGAAACGATGTTGTTAAGCTACAATTATCATCAGATGAGAGAAGACTACCAGTCATTGTTTTGCATTGGCGTCCAAAAAGATCACGTGATGACTGTTCTGGCCAACTCTTTGTCTACGGTGGTGATGCAATTGGCTCTGAAGAAGTTCTAACGGTATGCTCTCCAACATTTTAAGGTTATTTCTCAAGTGGACTGTAGTTTGAAAGGTCTTACAACAAGTCATTTTTGCATCAAACTTTAACTTACTGTGGACAGTCTGTTGTTTCACAGTCGAGGTTGGCAAGTTTAGTTGAACAAATCAGTGCATAATACAGGATTCCTTAGGAAGAGCAATCAAGAAGAGTTAAAAAAAAAAGTTCAACTAGGGTGTTGTAGTTCAAGATGTAATGATAGCAAATCCGGTTTAAAGGTCTTTTGGATAGCGAAAACCTTGTTATTGGCAAATAAGACCTGCCTATGAGTGTTATATCATGACTGATCTTTGCATGGTTAATAGACATTCATTAAATGCACCAGTTAGAAAGCAATAACTATCTAAGTGACTACTAGTAGGTGGTCTTTATTTTTCTTAGTCCAGGAGGAATCAATTTACTTGTTTCACATTCAGTGAATGTACTATGAAATATGCATTGGGTTGTCTATCTTTCTCAGAAAAATATCAATTATCGATTTCACGACATGCACATTCTAACTGAAGTTCACTGATGCAGATTTTAAATCTGGACTGGTCTGCCGGAATTGGCAAACTAAAATGCATTGGGCGAACTGACATTACACTCGGTGGCTCTTTTGCTGACATGGTTCTATTCACAAGTGGTGCTTCAGTGAATACAAGTGGGATGTTGGTATTGACAAATCCAGGACAGCTGCATTTTTATGATAGTACTTGCTTGTCTTTTTTGACATCAAAGGAAGAGAAAAAATTTACTGTGTCTCCAATTGAATATCCCATGGCTATACCTACTGCTGAGCCAAACATGACTGCAGCAAGGCTTGGTGTGATATGTGTAGATGGGAACCTTCTAAAGGCTTTATCCGAGGTATGGTTCGTTTATTATGCTGTAGGTTTCCATTCATTTGAACGCAAAACTATGTCTAACTCCGAGCCAAACTGTCAACGTGAAACCAAGTTTGACATTCGCCTCAGTGTTATATTGTTTGGCTGCCTCCAATTATTTGCCATCTAAGGAGCTCATCTCCCTTTCCTCCATTGTTGTTCAAGATGTAGAAACCATTCTTTTGTCCCAAAAAACCCAAAACAGACACAGGGAATTGAACATAGAAAGGAATATATTAGGAGAAAATTAGACGAAATAGCGGCTGTGGAAACTTTATCTAAAGAAATAATATGGATTATTTCTTCTCATCTGCCATATTGTCTTCGATTTTTCCCTTTAAGCAATCGGAGCCTCTTGCATGTTCTCACATTGTTTCAGCTGGAAAGCACCGAGGCACAATTTTTAGTGCTTAAGTTCATTGAATATTGGTTTCTGTCGGCTCAGTTAACCTCTGTTCTCCTTTTCCTAATCAGAAAATTTCTGCTGCAAAATTGAGAAGGTTTGAGGTTTCTGGAAATTCAGCTTGGCCATTGACTGGTGGCATTCCTAGCCAATTTTTGGAAGCTGAAAATTATAAAGTTGAAAGAGTTTATATAGCAGGATATCAAGATGGGTCGGTCAGAATATTTGATGCAACATGTCCAACCTTTTCATTATACTGTGTCTTAGGACCCGAGGTTTGTTTGGCAGCACAATGTCTTCTAACAAAATGTGTATCAACGCTATAAGTATCAATGGTAATGAAAACCTAAAAATTGCATGATGGCAGGTCAAAGGTACAAGTATTGCTGGTGCAAATGCACCAGTATCTGCACTGGCGTTTTGCTCCTCCAAGTTAACTTTGGCTATTGGCAATGAACTTGGTACGGTAAGAGTACTTGGAATTTTTCTATGATTCTATCAAATGCCTTCTTTCCATAATTTTTAAGGTCATATGCTCCCAGTATGTCTAAGTTTTGCACATCGTGCAGGTACTTTTATACGATTTGAGCAGGACTACTGATGCAATGCAGCTAAACTTCATTACAGAAAATGGAAAGGAAGGTACCAGTTCTGTATCTTCTATATGGATCTACTTTTTTGGTGCTCAGCATAACCATATCGTCGTTACAAAGGAAACAAAATTCTCCTGCCTTATTTACATATCAGTAATTTGCAGTTTACACTGTACGCGGAGTGGATGAGCCTCACTGCACAGCCGTGTTTTCCTTCCATACTTCACATATAAGCACTCTTCAATTTCTGCATTCTGGATCCAGACTTGGTGTGGGATTTCACTCTGGAAGGGTGGGGAATCATTTGTTTGGCCCTTTCCTTATGTTTCTCACTTTTATGTGTGTTGAATTGGTAACTTGCAGTGCCACAACTTCTTATTTGTGAACACATTGGCTGATGGTGTTTCAGGTGGCATTGCTTGATATTAACACATACTCAATTTTGTTCCTCACTGATTGTATGTCCAACTCGTGTTCTCCAATCAAATTACTGGATATGAGACCATCGACAGAAACTACTAGTGTGATTAAGGATGTAGGGCAGAGTGAATCCAAATGTATGGGTAACAATGCCAATCAGGAAGTTTTTGTTGTGACCAAGGATGGGCAGTTTGTCCTTCTAGATGGAAACACGGGCAATATCGTCTTTTCTCAGTCTTTGAAAGCTGAAGAAGAATCGACTGTTATTTCTATGCATATCATAGGTAAGTATTGCAGGTTATAGTGGCATATTGCAGAACTGTGATTAAACATTACCTCCCTGTGGATCTTACAGATTTTTCACGACCTCCCCCGTGTAGATAGTAGCATGATGGCGTGGGAAAGTGGAGCCACTCATGGTAGTGATAATCCACTCAATGCGGATCAAGAAGCTACTTCAGGTGCATCCAGTTGTGGGAATAGAGCTGAGACTTTCTTCCTCGTGCTTTGTTGCGAAAGTGCATTGCACCTATACTCTGTCAGTGCTCTTAAGGAGTTTTTTTGTCTCTTATTTTAAGTTTCTGGTTTCAGAGCTTCCAATTCTTTCTCCTTTTCCAGCAAGTCACATAGTTTATAATTTTTTAGGGAGGTACAACCCCTGTTCAAACAGTGAATCTTTCGAAGCCATGTTGTTATTCTATAACTTTCAAGAAGGATGGCAAAGTTGTTGGACTCATTGTTATTTATCAGACTGGGGAAATTGACGTGAGGTGAATCACCTAGTTTCTTGGTACCCAATTGAATCGGTGTATCTTGGTTTGGTGGTGCAGCTGCTCTTTGATGTTCTTGCTGCATCTACGTTAAATCAGTTTTTGAGTGGAAGCTGATCTATTTTTTTGCAGGTCTTTGCCGGACTTGAGATTGGTGGGTGAAAGCAATTTAATGTTTATTCTAAGGTGGAACTTCAAGACTAACATGGATAAGATGATATGTTCCTCCGAAAGTGGACAGATAATCTTGGTTAGTAGTTCATGCTTTTATCTGTGTGTTACTTAAGGCTTGCAAAGTGTTAGAAACATACTTATTCGGGTTAGGATATTTCAGTTATTTTAATATGCTAAGTCGATTAGGGTTTAAAAGCACTGCAGGTTTAAAAGCTTGAGTGTTCTCTTCACATGAATTGAGAGCTTCTGTGTTCTCACCTTGGTTTCTCTTTGCTCTATTCCTTATGCACTCTTGTAATAGTCATACCGAAGTCTCATTCTAAACTTCAAACCGTATTCTACTGCTTGTTTGTGGCGGTGTCTTTTCTGACCTCCCAAATACACAGGTCAAAAGCTGTCTTTTCCGGCATAACCTTTTTCTGTTTATGTATTTTCTTCTCTAAATTTTCAGCTGCCATCTTCTGACATTTTCTCATACATTGCATAATATATTTGGTCATCTTATGGAGTTATTATCTGGAACCGCGTAATACTTTGTAGTTCAGCTCAACAGTGGAAACATAATTTTGAGAGCTACTTCAATCTTCTTGAATTGCAGGTAAATGGGTGCGAAGTTGCTTCAGTCTCTCTTCTGGCATTTGAAAATGACTTCAGGTTTCTCTATATCATCCTCGAGCCCAATTGCATATTATTGCATTGAGGCATGTATATATACCTGTTCCTTGTTATTTCGAGAATGGATTTGATTTCTAAATAATTTTCTGTGAATTCTAGGATTCCTGATTCTTTACCTGTCCTTCACGACAAAGTGCTTGAAGCTGCAATTGATGCTGCTGCCTACAATTTGTCTCCGAGTAAGAAGGATAAACAGGTAGAAGACTCTTTCTCTCCACTTATTTCCAATGAACAGTTCTACAGTTGTGTGAGCTCCTGTTGCTGCAGGGTTCCCTACCTGGAATTTTAGGTGGCATCCTCAAGGGTTTACAGGGAGGTAAGGTGGAGGAGCAGAAAGTGGGGTTTCCTGAGGTTGGGAAGATTAACTTGACACATCTAGACACCATATTTTCCAACCCCCCATACTTGAAGCCTTCTTCTATGGACTTTGACGAGGATGACCAAAACGATGCCGTGGAACTAAGCATAGGTTCGTTTACACCACAATTTATGTCTTCAACTTCATTTCTCTCTCTCTTTCTCTCATGTTTACACTTGACACAGATGATATCGACCTTGATTTTGACGAACACGTGGTGGTGGAAGCATCTTCCGCGAAGGAGAGCAACAACGATAAGAAAGGTATGTCCTTCAACTGTCTGATGTGTGGCAGGTACTTTTATTGTGATATGATTCTTAATTTTGCGCTGCTGCAGACAAGGGAAAGGAAAGGGAGAAGTTATTTGAAGGTGCAACGACTGATTCCAAGCCCAAAATAAGAACAGTTGAAGAAATCAAGGCACAATACGGGAAGGAGGTATAGTTCCCATTGCCCCCCACGATCAGTTAACCTGTTCATTTATGGATTTGGCTTCTATTTACCACATTCATCATGGCTGGCATATCTTTTCAGGATGCTGCTGGAGCAGCTGCACTTGCGAGGAACAAGCTAGCCGAGCGTGGTGAAAAACTTGAGGTGGAGTGTTCAATGAATCTTGTTCTACTACTTATGTTGTTTCATAAATTGTTGCCCCTGGGCAGATGCATTTGTTAAAACCACATATGAACAACCAGACCATTCGATGTTTTATTGGTTTTAATTTTGTTATTCACTTTGCTTCTCGCTGACTTAAATCTTTGCTGTGTTTTCTTGTATGCTCTTTACCCCGAAACAGAGGCTGAGCCTGCGAACAGAGGAACTGCGGAATGGGGCCGAAAATTTCGCATCGATGGCTCAGGAACTCGCTACACTAATGGAGAAGCGTAATAAATGGTGGCGGTTATGATCATCAGATCTCGTACCCTGGACAAAATATCCGTGAACCAGCTTGCTTGGCTTTCAAGGTACAGGAGAAAAGAAGCCATTGTTGGCCCTTCATTTGGGTAGGGGCACTCTAATTACTACACACATTGTACCCTATTGCCACCCGATCCCCGAACCCCTACATTTTGACGTGTGCGTAAAGTATTTGGCTATTAAAAATACAGTGACCGCGTGAGGGTCTGTATTTATCTGTCATAATTCATAATTAACAGACTTGTACATTGTCATTTGTGAATACAAAGAGGGCTTGAACATAATGTTTATTCTGCCTTCAGTAACAGCCATAGGACGACTTGGTTAGAACGAAGAAAAGAGTATTTGTTCTGCAGACAGAAGATCGACCTCTTATTCACAAGCTAGAAGCCTTCCTTTTAGGAACTTTGCACGACGAAAGAAGCGCTTTCTTCTTACTGATCTCCCCTTTGATTATGGGTCATGCATGAAGTGCAGCTGAATGATGAATAGAATGTGACACCAGCAACGTTGCATTGACCTCTTTCGCCCAACTTGATTGGTCTGCGATAGGGAAGCTGAGAACCTTTTGCGGTCCTCGACTCATTATATGCTCTCAATAGCTTACAGAACGTACGGCACTCATGAATGAGGATATTCTGGATCGATCCTTGTTGATTCCATCAGAGCCACAAATGCCACTGCTAACATCTATACCATCAGGCTTGAGGGTTGCCAAGGCTTCAGAAACGTTTTCAGGGTTTATCCCTCCTGCTAATAGCCAGCCATGCTTGCTTCTAATTGAAGGTAACTTAAACCGAGTCCAGTTAAATCCCTTTCCACTGCAAACAACATTAGGCAAAACATTTAGTGAGAACTTGCTAAAATCGTCGACGATGACTGTATTTGAAATTGCTAATTGATTGCATGAATGGAGATGGTAGTACCTGCCCCCGGTTGCGCTATCAATGAGAATCCAGTCAACCAGAGAACTTTCTTCATCTGAAATTTGATTTTGAAGCTCCCCATCCTTGTTTGCATGAAGAACATAGACTATTCGTGTATCCTGAACTAATTGTTTCAAAGCTTCCCGTGAACCACCCCCATGAAGCTGTACAAATTCAAGATCAGCAACTTCTGCAGCTCTCATTATCGTTTCTGCATCATCGTCAACGAATACACCAACAGGTTGTGCTCCATTTTCCCTAGCAACTTTAGAAATTTCTTTCGCAACCGAGAGTGAAATTGAACGTTTAGATTTGGGCCATAGTATCATCCCAATAAAATTAGCTCCAGCTTCGGCAGCAATTGCAGCATCTCTAGCTGATGTTATCCCACACATTTTAACCACTGGCGACCGCATATCATGTTCCTTACTAGCGCAAGATACTTTCTCAGACAAGCAAGTAACTCTGGTCCTTGACCAACACTGAATTTTCAGCCATTTCAGTCTCCCAACCATCACACCTGCATATTGCCAAGATCCCACTTTACCAAGTTCTTGTCACCAAATCTGTAGATTCTAGCATTCCCAAGTGAAACCTTTAGCATGATTGTATATACAATGCCAAGCTTTCCGCAGAATTGTAATCTCGTGGTCAGTCAATATTCTTGAAGAGGCAAAACGTACCAGGAGCATGCTGTCTTTGCAACCTGGAAAACCCAGGTTGTAAGTAACTCGCTGTGTTGATATTCATCCCTGCATCCGGAAAGGAAATGGTGAATATGAACTCAATCTCATGAACTGACTAGCTATCTGCATTCTGCAACCAAGGAGCAAGAACAAGCCTTCCTCAAAGCAAGACAAATACGCAGTCACACTAGGGAGGACGATGCAGGATCAATTTGCCCACCAAACGGGTTCATCAACATGAAATTCTTCCTATATTCCTTTTCCTTGCGACTTCTAACACCAATGTGCATACAGATTCTCAAACGTGGATGGGAAATCCATGCATTAGTGAAACCGTCGCCCACAACGTAGCTCAAACAAACCATTGATCTGCCGAATTTCTGAAAAAACAAGACAAAGCCCTAATTCATGAAAACTGCGAATCAAGTGTCGAGCTCCCAAAATCTTACCTTGCGCGCAGAAATCGAAAATGTCGAGCAATCCCACCGGTGCCCCCTGCTTTAGATTCAACCTGCCGCGTCGTCGTCTCCAGTCGGCGACAGCGACAATCCAATTCTGGCGAGTGCCGATGGACGCCGCGTCGAGCTTAGCTCTCGTTTGTCCCTCGTTGCTTCTCTATTTAGTGACTGCAGACTGCCGAAATGAAGCACTAAACGGTGGAACGCCAAACTGGAATGGGCGTAGAAGAATGGTGAGAATGCCAGAATGCATTTCGTCACGTCAAAGCTTCAGTAGTTGATATGTTTTGCTGTATAACACGCCGGAATCCGGACCAACGCGGTGTCGTTTGGTTGAGTTGATAATGATATTCTTTGGTTACACTTGCAAATGAGGAACATTATTATTATTTGTTAAAAATGAGATGCATTATGCTATCACTTTAGTGGAATCAGAATATTGAAGGAACTTTTTACCAACAAAAAAAATAATATTGAAGGCCCACAATCTATAACGTGTATTTTTAAAAAAAAAATACAATTTCTACCGTGTCATTTACATATTGGATTTGAAAATAAGGATTTTTTAGTTTTAAAATTTAATACATAATCTCTAACATGTCATTTACTTAGTTGATTTTTTATTCTACCTAAAATATTGAATTTGCAAATTCGTGGATTTTGATTTAAAAAAAAGTCTAATGTATCGTTTGCTTGTGGGATTTGGGTGATGGATTTGGTACCCAAATCACAAGCATAATGGAATTGGCACAAGTCCATTGTTTGCTAAGGGACACAAATCCGTGGAGCCCACGGATTTGGACCCATTTTTTAGATCCAAATCCGTGGACCCCACGGATTTACAAATCCCACATTTCATTTGGGATTTGATAATGGAAGGCAAAATGTGAACAAATCCATCATGAATCTACGACAAAAATAAACTACACAAACAATGTACTCTTCCAAATCCATAATGCAACAAATCCATCATAAAACCAAAGGTTTTGAAAACTCAAAACCCTCATTTTCAAATCCAACAAGCAAACGAGCCCTAAAATGTGGTGCTCACATATTTGTTTTTCAAATTTTTCGGAACAATGAATTTGTCAAAATCTATTATACTTAGGGCTGGCAGACGGTTTTTCAGTTAGCAGTTAACCGGACGGTTTCAACCGAACCGACCGGTTTTCGGCTAACCGAAAAACCGAACCTGAAGAGCACGGTCGGTTGACGGTAGAGCAAATCAGGGGGCCGGTTAGCCGACTAACCGGGGTCGGAAACCGGCGGTTAACCGGCTAACCGACCCCCTGCCCTTTCCTTAAACGACGCCGCATCCAAAGCCATCTTCCCGCCCCCCCCCCCAGAGACCCGACCCTCTTCTCTTCCAACAAATCCCAAATCCCAAATCAACCAACCCCTATCCCAAATCCATTCCCCATTTCCCCTTCCCCTAGAGACCCTCTTCTCTTCCAACAAATCCCGACCCTCTTCTCTTCCGACGGTCCCGACGGCAGGACCCGAGACCCGAACAAGAAGCTCCCTCACCATTTTCCGCCTTCCCCTTCACTGCCCCTATTCCCATAAAACCCATTTTGCTCCCTCCTCCGCCTGAACAAGCTTCTCTCTGCTTCACCCAGCTTTCCCATTCATTCCCATTACCCCAAACAAAACCTAAAAAAATGCATGCCAAAACCGACTCAGAGGTTACCAGCCTGGCGCCATCGTCGCCGACCAGATCTCCCCGCCGCCCGGCCTACTTCGTCCAGAGCCCCTCCCGCGACTCCCACGACGGCGGGAAGACCACGACGTCGTTTCACTCCACCCCGGTCCTCAGCCCCGTCGCCCCGCCGCCAACACCAGCAGAACCGAGAGAGAGAATCGAGGGAGGAGGCGAGAATAGGGAGAGAGATAGTCTGGGTCTGGGAAGAAGAATCGAGGGAGTTGGTTCATGGTTGTTCGATTTTCCTTCCAGAGGAAGAAGAGAATAGAGAGAGAGTAGGGAGAGAGATAGTCTGGGAAGAGAATCGAGAAAAGGAGGGGAAGAAGAATCGAGAAACGGAGGGGTTAGGTTAGGAGTGTGTGGTGCAGATTTTTTGTTGTTTTTAATTTTTTTTTTAAAGGTAGTTTCCGGTTGGCCGGCTAACCGAGTCGAAACTGGAAACTGGTCGGTTGGTTTGCGGCTAACCGAGGCTCACGGACGGTCGGTTGGCGGTAGCTCTGGTCGAGGTCTCGGTTTGACCGATAACCGACAATTCAGTTTTCGGTTAAACCGAAACCGACCGAGTGACAGCCCTAATTATACTTGAGAATTAGATATCTAATCCATCACTCAAATCTCACAAACAAATGACTCTTAATATTCACGACACACTAAGGTTATTCACATCATATAAATAAAGCCTTTTATGATTCTTCAAACACCGAGTTGAATGCAACAAAAAGTTTGGTATCATCTCTCATACTAGTTTTGTTTATATCTTTAATTATTTTAGTAAACATCTTGCGGGTGAATTCACGAGATGAAAGGCAAAAAAAACAAGATGAAAAACCAATAAGAAGATAAATCAAGAAAATAGCAGTAGCAACAGCAACAGGAGCTGAATATGCAAGAGCAATCCAAGGACGAGAGACTTCATTAACTATTACTTATTACAATCTTGACAACCATATCCACCTTCCTCTCACTAGAAAATCAATTATTTCTCTTCGTTCGATGATATAGGAATTGTTCTGGAGAACAATTATTTATAATAATAATAAAAACATGAAGCTTGATTCTCAGCTTATTTTTCTATGGAATTGATTCCAGATAAGCTGTAGGAGTAAAGGACGTTATCATAATAGAGCAAAACTCCATATGACACTTGGCGTGGCGAAGTTAATTTCATCATATCATTATTCTTCCAGAAAATATAAACTCAGAAACAAGTGACCACTGGTTCCATAATATCGTTGCTCCTAACATTCGCGTACGTAAAAGAATAGAATAATATGTGCGAGAGAGAGCTGTGGGGAGCAAAAGGCAAGAAAATATGGGGAAAAGAAAGAAGACGCCAATCGGAGAGGTGGTTTATTGAAGATAAGGCGGCCGGCCAAGTGCCAACCAATAATACAATAATACTCTAAACTCTAAACGCAGGCCAGGCCAGGCCAGCGCACGCCTAATCAAAAGAAAGGAGCGGAGAAAAGAAAATGCAGAATGAATGAGAGAAAAAAGGCAGCAGAGGAATGGGCTGGAGCTGTCAATTCTCATTGTGGATTCTACTTCTTGGCCGCTGCTGGCCGGAGAGAGAGAGAGAGAGAGAGAGATAAAGAGAGCGTCCTCCAACGATAATGCTGCTGATGACAACGATATTGAATGAATGAATGAACGAAAGAAAGCAGGCAGCTCCTTACTAATAATTTGTTTTCATTTTCTATGGTTTCCCTTTCTTCTCCTTGTTTGATTAATCAAAATCCCCCAATCCCCAAAAAGAAAAGAGGAAGCATGGCCATCGTCCCCCCAGGTCATGGTCGGCCCAATTATTCCATTACCTTAACGACATCTGTCCTTTTGACAATTCATTTCATGGTGGAGAAACGAAAATGCTTCCCCTTTCTACCCACCCACTAACCCAGAACAATTACACCAGCCTAGAAAATGCAATCCAAATCAGAGATCATTAAACCCACTGAAACCGTGGTAACAGATAATACGGTGGTATGACGTCGCCACAAGTTCACAGCTACAAACTTACATGACAAACAGAGGTGATTCTGGTGCATATTCTCTTTGCGCTTGTCATCACACCCCTATTCTCATGGCGGCTCTGCCGCAGCGCGCAGACCACAGCGCCATGGCGCCACCACAGTCCAGCAAAAAACTTCCAGCTTCAACATATATATATATATATATATTTATAATCATCAAGGTAGCCGTAGCCAGAGAGATTCAAAAATTGCAACCTTTTCCATCCGTCATCTGTAAGGCTGTAAGCAGTAAGCCTGTTGGCTTCCTAAGAGATCACCATCATCTAGAAATAAGACTTGCGACAGAGACAGAAGACGAAAACGATGCCAGGTTTAGACTTTGGACCAAATCAAACTCATCTTATGAGTACTACTATTGCCAGGGAGATAGAGTCATACGTAGGAACTAGGAAACAACAAACAAGAACATACATAGAACAGAAATGGCCCTTCTCTACCATTTTCCTTATTATTATCAAAGAGGTTACAGGGGAAGAACAACAACACAGACTCTATCTCTCTCCCCCCTCCCTCAATCTTCAAACATAGAGGAAGAGAGGAGTACAAGCAGAGATAATACAATAACAAATATATGAAGAGATATATATATTGAATTTAATTAAAGAATATAATCACCTTATCTTTGCACCTACGAGTTTGATCCTAGTTTTCCCTTTTTTTCTGTGCCTCCTCACTTTTGCTCAGAGAATGCGAACACAATTAGTAAATAAGAGATTACTAACAACAATTGCGAGATGAATCTAATAATAAAAAGAAGAAAACAACTGTCAGGTTGATCATCATCACCATCTTCATCCTCAGGAACATCAAAGGGAGGTTTCTCCCACTCTTACCCCGACTTGAGCTTATGCCACCATCTGCTCCTGCTCTATATACATCTGCTCCATCCATGGTGGAATGGATGACTCACGAACGCCGCCACTCCCGTGGCTGAGACGATTCTCACGAACACCTCCATCGATGCCGGATGGAACCTCCTTAACCAATGAGTTAACCCATGACACATCAGGCTCGCCATTGCTCGACATCGCCAAACTTGCAGGCCTGGTTGTGGGACTGTTGTTGTTGTTGTTGCTGCCTCTGAACCCGAAAGAAGCAGACCTCTTGAGCTTGTTCAGCTCATCTCCTTGCATTCCCCAGTCGAGCTTCCCATCAGGTGAGCCCCAATCGGAGAGATGGTTGGGGGATGACATCATCGAAACCGAGTTGGCTGCTGGTCCGGAGAAACCATGGCGGTTGTTGGCTACTGCACCACGGTCGATGAAACTCTGGCTCCTTTTTGTAAAAGCTGAGGACCTAGAGTTCATCACAGCAGCAGCCACTGCAGCGGAAGAATCGAACCCTCCATATGACCCCATCTTCCTCACCGATTGAGGAGACGATGACATGTTGGAAGGGTAACTGGAACGGAGTTGGTTCACGTTCTGGCGCATTTGAAGACCGGTTGGCGAATGCATCCGAGAAGGGTCGAGCGATCCGAATGCATCGTCGAGGTTAGTAGGGTTCATGTCTCTCCAGCAGGTTGGTGAGGAGAGCCCTGAAATCTCTTCCATCAACTGTTGCTGCTGCAATTGGTTGGTCTTGTTCTCGAACCTGAGCAGCTCCAACTCCAGATCAAAATCTCTGGCACTCATAGCAGTCTTCAGCCTGCTTCCTGGAAGCTGCAACGCAGGTGGGGTGAAATTGATCTTGTTCTGCCACAACCCCCCAGCCTTTGGAGACGAAGAAGCCGTTGCTAAAGGTGACATGGGGGGTGTGGAGCCGGTTGGCATCGGCATAGACATCGAACCCAGAGAAAGCGGGCTCAAAGAAGCCATCTCCATTCCGGAAGCAGACGACCTAGGAGGAGAAAGCATAGCTGAACCTGTGGAGGCATGGACCGGCCTCAGCTCCTCAACCTTGTGAGCAAAGAAACACACTTTCCTCCCACAACCAGTCTCGTCCTTGCAAAGCCTTGTCCTATACTGAGCAGGATGCAGCCACGACTCGAACACACCATGAGCATACTCACAGGAATCAGCCTTCTGGCACGAGCCCTTACGGAATTCAGGGCAAGGGACACAGCTGTAAGGGTACTTCCTTGGGTCCCTTCTCCTCGCGTTCTCCCCAGGGTGGACAAAGGGGCACTCGGTCCAGTCATGGGAATATGCCCTCGAGCAGGGCTTGACCTTGAATGAATACATCCTGAACTCATCGGTACCATATACCCCGGTGTTGATATCAGGGAGAGACACATCGATAGGATACTCTTTCCTCTCATTTGCTCCTTCTTTAGCTAGCTGAGCTGGAACAGCTATGATAATCTTCTCTTCCTCGTCTTCACTCAAGCTCTCACCCTTGAGCAATGACTCGATCAGCTTCCTCCTCGAGTTGCAAGGGCACTTGGAGGAAGGCATGAAGAGATCCGCCGGCTTGTTTCCATTAAGGTCAACACAATCAGCATCAGCTGAAGCATCAAGCAACACCTTGACGATCTCCACCGAGGAATTCGAGCCCCCAGCTACAGCACAGTGCAAGGCGGTGACCTTATCTGAGCCACAAGCTCTGTTGACATCGACTTTCCCAGTTGCAACGATGTATTTCACCACGCTTGTGCTTCCGAACAAGGAAGCAATCATGAGAGGGGTTCTGAGTTCAAAACCCATCTTCCGAGAGGCGTTTCTTCTGACATACCAGTAGCTTGCCTCATCAACATCCAGCCCTTTGCCTTCGACTTCATTTCTGAAGAAAACTAGATCGTCAGAGGCAGCAAGCTCGAGCAGAACTGAGCACCTAGACAAGGTGTTGCCTTTCTGCTTAAACGAAGGCTCTTCCATGTTGTTGGAGTTGGAAGGCGAAAGAGCAGTCTTGGAGCCTTTGCACATAAGTAGATCCTGCAATAAGGAATTTTCAACCAATCTTATGTCAGACACCGCGTTAAACCAAATTCACAACAACAGACGTGCCAAAAAGTCTAACCAGAACACCTCAACTCAACAGTAGTAGGACAAGAAAAGAAAACCCTAAGTCCAGAAGGTTCTAATGATAGCTGAACAAGAAGAATTCAATTCAACAGAGCCGGGGATAGAAATTTTAATCAGCAAACCCTCAAATCCGCAACTCTATTACATCTCAGCTTATTCCTACCTAAAATTGAAACCCCACCAAACTTCACAACACAAAAAGGAACAGGGAAACAAAGAGAGCTATAAAACCACCGCAAGTCAAATCCAAACCCCCCAAACGAAGACTTGAGGAGTCTTCGAAGAAGAAATAGCCCAAATCCAAGCAAAACCCAGAACCAAAGTTTCAAACTTTTTTCACCAAATCAAAACTGAAACCCCACCAACAAATCATCCTGTAACAAACAAACAAAAAACCAGAAGACAGGTTGCGCTTACCTAATATTCTATTCTGTCGAGAGATGGGATAGGATTTAGGTGAAACCAGAGTCTGCTTCTTTCTCCGAAAGGTTGTGTGTTTTCCTTGTTGAATTGAAGAGATCGAAGAGAATTGATGGAGAGAAAGAGAGAGAGGTCTCTCGGTTTAGTCGTTGATGGGTGAAGAGCGAACTGATTGAGAGGAAGAAGTGAGAGGCGCGTCTCTATATATTGGGGGTGGTTTTTCCTTCCAGTCCTTGTTCAGGTTTTAGGAGCGGAGGAAAGAGGGAGGAAAGTTAGGACTTTTCTTCTTTCAGCTTTTATTATTTTAATAATTTTTATACTATTATTATTATAATAATATTATCAGTATTATATTTTTATTTACTTATTATTATTATTTCTTTTCTTTTTATCTTACTCGTTGCTTTTGCTGTGCGCTCCTGTTTTTCCTTTTCAATTTTTTGTTTGTTTCCAAGTTAAGAGTCAAAGTCAAATCTTCAAATGGCTGAAGCGAAGCAAAGCAATGGCTCTCTCTGATGCTCTAATCAACGCTGCTTTGATTTTTTTTGGACTAAACTCTAGAGCCTTTCTGTTTGTATTCTCTAAATGTAACTGAAATGAAATGAAATGAAATGTAAATTACGGACGTGAACTAAATCTTATATCTAATTAATTCGGAAGGTGGGCCCCAAATCGGTTGTAGGAAGGGGTAGAGAGCCGCCTGACCGGGCGGCGTGCCGCAGCTCTCTTGTACTCTCTTCTACCAGTGCGCGCTCAATCAGTCCTCTTTTCTTTGTGTACTAGTACTTGGCCTGCGTTCCGCGGCGGGGTAAGTGTGATTCCAGTTGTTTTGTGGATTTTGTTATGTTCTTTTTGCTATACCATTCGCAAATAGTTTAGATTCATTGCGCGAGAGAGCGCAGAAATTAACAAACATATTAACAATCTTTGTGCACACCACACATATACATCTGCCATAGTTTTGTCTTCATTGAATATAGGGAATAAAAACTTTAGTATTTGATGCCCTTGACGAAATTAAAAAACACAAACACATTTGCCATAGTTTTGTCTTCACTGAAAATAGGGAATAGAAACGTCAGTTTAAAATGGAGAATTCTGGGGGTGGATGGGATACTTCGGTTGGCCTTTCTGTCAGTAGTGTTGATGGTCACTTATCTATCCTTGAGGTGTGCCAAAGTGTCGCTACTCTTATTTGGGATACGGCTGTTCTGGTTCTGTTCTTCAGATCTGAGGAACCGATGTAGAGCTCTCCTGCAAACATTCTGCTACATCTTTTGACCAGCAACGCCTTGGCCGATTCTGCATCGAGTTTTTTGTATTTCCTGGGTGACATTCCTATTATTGATAGTGTAGTCTCGTGGTCCAGTATGGCATCAACACTATCATCTCCTTGCTTGCATTTGACTTCCAACTCATAGTGCAGCCTAGTCATAAGTATAAGTTCAGAAACTTGTTGGCTTATTCGTAGATAGATTCATTCACATGAGAAGTAATTGTCGTTTTGAAATAGAAAACTTACTCTGGCCAGTCCTCAGTCGCTTGACATATGGCTTTTCGAAATTTCATTTGTGAGATGAAGAACTTAACACGATAGAGTACCTAGCATGAACATCAGATATTCATAAGATATAGGTCTACGAAAAATGTAGGTACACAGTATAGGAGTTTGGTTTATGTTCTGTCCCTCACTAACCTTGTGGACAGTCTGATCAGATGCAAGCATTGTTTCCATGTCAGAGAGTGTCTTCTTTTCGATTCCTGATCGAAGGCAGCATGTCTTCTTGCTGGTATTGGCATCCATGAAATAAACTTGCCTGCGACTGTAAAGGAAACTGGTTGTAGCATAAAAGAGACAAAAGTGTCAATGTAATTGGTTTTGGCCTACTGGCAACAAATATGATTCAAAAAATGGAAAGGATTCTGTCAAACTAAAAGTACATGTGCATTATCTCCTGGAATGGGACTGTATAAGATCTGATCATGAGTGCACTGGCAGGAGTGGATTCGAACCGATACTTGTATTTCTGGTCGGCTAGAGGTGCCACCTGAATGACAGACTTGATTGTAACAATCAGAGGCAGATGAGCCTCAGCTGTCGGGGCGTTCTCTAAGAAGTTCGGTATATCATATCCACGATACCAAACAGTTGCCTTAGCGCCACTGTCAATGACACTAATATGTGAGGTTGTTTATTCATACAATTCGCAGATCGAGATTCTATTCTACAAAATGTAGCTCACATCCTGAACGACCATGTGAAATTCTTTGAGTCTACTGCGAATTGTTGTGGGAACACTGAGACGCCTAATGCATACGGTGATGTCTATAAGCAACATAAGAGTTTGTCACTTAAAAGCTTAAGTTCATTTTATTATATCAAATAGATATGGTTAATGTACCTGTATGATAGTCGATGGTGTTTGTCTGAAGTGGTACCATCGAAAAAGCCATTCCAATGTCCCAGCCAGCGGTCAAGCGTGGCTCATCTGGGTCCTCCTCAATCCTGGTAATTTTTTGATCAGCGGTTATGTGCACTCTTAACTCTCCTGCAACGATCCTTGGATTCTCTCTTGCTGGTATTGCTTCAACTGAATCAAACTGATAAAGGTTCCCGACTTTTATCTTGCGAGAAATCTCGGCGATGTCTTTTTCATCAACCATTGACTCGATTAGTCGTGCCTATAAGATAAGCAGTTAAACGGTTCCAAATTATGTATTATAGTAGTTTAAGATTGTTGATGAAGAGATTATCTAATTCTGTAACTGAAATGGAAAAAAAACCTTTTTATCTATCCAGATCATGTGCATGCTAAGATTTTTAAGCTTAGGTGCCTCTCGATACTCGAGCCATGCCATCACAGGCCTAGCAATTACTATGCGGACGTTGGTGCCCAGACGCAGCCCTCGAAATGGCATGCAAGTTTCGATCGGATCTATAATAAGACAGTATAGGGAAATGAAACACATATTTTATCTTTGGAGCAGAGGATTCGAGATACCTGGTAGTATTCTTTAACAAAAATGGAAAGCATTCACCTTTGTTGTCGGTGGGGACCATGTGAGCGTCCTCTGTTGACTGCTGGTTTTTGGCCAAACCCTCCATGTCTTTTGGGGTCTTTACGCAAACAATGTGGATGATGATAAGAAGTTAATTCCCAAGTGTGAAAACGGTGAGGAAGAGGAGGACGTGGAGTTACCTTTGTTTTAAAGGCTGTCGTGTAGTTCGGTGGTGGGGCTTTCGCGGCGGAGCAAAGTGTATGGAAATGTGGACGGCGGATCTGGTTGATGAAGACAGTTAGGGATTATAAAGGAAGCGGTGATTTTGGGCCAGTTTCCCATGGGCTTCTGTCTGCAATCCTAAAGCATGTTCGGACTGGGCTCAATACCATTCCATTACTATCAAAACATAAGAAAACGTGGGCTCGATTTTAGTAAGCGTTCAAGGCCGAAGAATTCAAAACGCAAACAATGTCTCCTGCTAATTTCGATCAAAGGATCATGATCAAATATTCTATTGTGTCATTCTGCAAGAACAGGAAGAACATGAAGAACATGCCCAGAATTCAAAACTCAAACAATTTCTCCTGCTAATTTCGATCAAAGGATCATGATAAAATATTCTATTGTGTCATTCTGCAAGAACAGGAAGAACATGAAGAACATGCCCAGAATTCAAAACGCAAACAATGTCTCCTGCTAGTTTTTCATGATCAAATCAAAAAATTCACCTCTCTAAACTATTGAGGTACAAACATCAGGGATTTCCATATGGACTAAACAGAATAACCAGCGGCTAGCAAATTGTCGAAGCGAGTACATTGGTGAATTTCCAAAATACCAGAGTAGTTAGGGGAAAACATTAAGTTATTTTTACAGAAAACATAGCAACATGTCCTGAATAGATAACATACATAATTATAAATAAGTCGTCCCAACAAACTAAGTTCCAAGTAGAACAGTTTCTAATCACACAAAAGCATTAGGGTTCCAGATTGAAGCAATTCGGATTGCAGGAGGATTTTCTGAAGTCCCAGGAGCAACATAAGCTTCAGCCATAAAAGGCACATAACATCTGTCTTAAATGTACTGATATCCTTCTTCATAGGTTAGACTGAAAGTTCCTCGGGTGACACCCAAACCAAGCCCAACACAGCTTCATGATCAAACACAACATCAACATATTCTCCCTCACACTCACATGTTGCTTGTAATTCATATCGTACCCTGAATTAAACAATAAAAGGAACGTTTTGATCTTCCTGAAATGCAATGGACAACAGATTATTAGCAAAACATAAAATTGAATCATACCTTGGAAAACCTGGACATGATTTAAAGACTTCTGGACCGTATGTAAATCTTGTCATTTCCAGCATACAACGAAAGAGAGCCTGAAGGAAGGAATTTGTGTTATAATAGGTAAAAGATATGACTATATATTTGGGATATGTGTTATCCAATACAATCAAAACAACAAAAAGTATACATATACCTGATAGGTCTGTGCATGGAACATTATATCATCCTTTAGCTGCTTTAGGGTTCTTTTGGGAGGAAGAAGACCACGAAGATAACCAATAGAGCAGCGAGAAGTACTATTGATATAAGTCACTGGCATTCGATCACCTATGAACCTAAACAACAAAAAGAATGTACGTATTGTTTTTCTAGCATCCAACAGAGCAGGTCTGTCAATATATAAACATAGAATTCGAATATAATAATACCTATTTATGATCTTCTCATAATGGTGATTGTAAGAACCAATGATCAGACGACTTCCAAGTGAAGATTGAAATACATATGCATCTCCAGTGGCATCTGTAATTGGCAGCCTTGTGACAGCAGTAACTGTGGTAATGAGAGGAAGTCGAGCTTCAGATTCCCCTGCCAACTCCAAATATTTGTAACTTCAGTTCCAGAGTAGTACACTGTCGCCCTGTCCCCTCTATACAAAATAGCAAAAGATCAGTTAATCCCACATGAAGTCTAACAAACAAAAATCAGCACAAGAATATGCAAGAAACCTGATGTCTTCTATGATGAGCTCAAACCTAAGAACACCATTAATTGGAAATCCTGGAATCGTCAGATGAACAACGCAACCTGTAACATCTGCAATTCAATTCATAGTAAGCAAATAATCATGAATACTTTTTGTGCAAACAACTTTCGAGGAAGATACCTCCATAATTCACAACTGCCTCTGTCTCTATTGGAATAGCCGAGAACGAAGTTTTCAGAAAAGCATTGACAGGAAACTTGGGATAACCCGGATTGTCAGGCACACAAAATATGATCTGTTCACGCCTTAAGGCAAAGCGAACTTCAGTTGGAACAACACGCCTGTTTTTCCTCGCAGGAATAACATGAAAGCCATCCAGGACATGTAAATCTCCTACTTTCAACTTATGTTGCATTTCTTGAATGTCATTTTCCTCAATACAGGCCTCTAGCATATGTTCCTGTTAAATGTGATTTAGTGCATTACTACAATAAAATCAAACATAAACAATAAATATTACATTACAGAGACAAATGACAGACCTCTTTGTCAATACACAGCACATGCATTGTTCTTTTATGCCCCTGCGAGTCATCACCATGCTCAATCCATACATTAAGAACTCGAATGATCATAATATCAGTATAAGCACCCACACGTAGACCACGAAACACCATGCATGTGGAAATTTGGTCTGTGGCAAACGAAAGACAAAGAAAAACCCCAAAACTTCACACCTCGGCAGTGTTCATTCATAAACCAATAAATAGAAACTTGAAACAGAAAGCAACGGAGTCGATACCTT